TAAAAATTTGTTATTCTAAAATTTTCACCGCGACGACTTTGTCATTGCCTATACTTAAAGCATCTTATTAGTACTTAATTCCTTGCTATTCATATTTATCGTAAATCTAAAAACTAAATTGCGTTGCTAGCGATACCTTTTGCTAGCAACGCAAATTTTAACAGTTCTTTGCGGTGAAAAATTATAGCACCTAATTATTAAAATTGGCACCTAGTTAGCACCTAAAAAGAACCTAATTTTGGGTTTTTCTAAATGCAAATTCCTGACTTTGTGTTGCTGGCGAAACACAGCTGCTCAAAACACCAAAACTTTCGTTATTTCTCAGCCGAAAAAAAATATTATAACTAAACAAAACAAAATTAAATTGTCATTTAAATTCCATAGCTTTTCAGTGGAAAGTTCCCACATAATAGATGAAGAGTTTAAAAAATTGAATGAGTTGAACAATTGATACTTTCAAAAGTTATGGTGTTTACGCCTCCATACGGACTTGATAAATCTACACCTTATGCCACTAAAGCCGCTATTTTATGTAAAAATAGCAAATGACCGATTTAAAAAAAAATCAACAATCATTTTTCTTTCTGACAATGTGCTTTTTATATCATTTATATGTTCTATATGATTCTTAGATACGATTTCATGCGACAAAACGTTGGAATCTTGATTTTTAAGCGCTAGTAAAATATACCTACGCAATTTGCGCTTAAGGCATGCAATATACATCATCATCATCATTATAGCCTTTCACAAGTCCACTGCTGAACATAGGCCTCCCCCAAGGAATGCCACAAAGCACGGTCCTGAGCCATCTGCATCCATCGACTTCCCGCATGTCTCACCAGGTCGTCACTCCATCTAGTGGGGGTCGCCCTACTCTTTGCCTACCGGTACGAGGCTGCCACTCGAGAGCCTTTCTTCCCCATCGGTTGTCGGTTTTTCGAGCTATATGGCCGGCCCACTGCCACTTCAGCTTACTAATCCGTTGGGCTATGTAGGTTACTCTGGTTCTACTGCGGATATACTTATTTCTGAGCTTCCTCATACGGCCAGCAGTGAAGGACCACGTCTCAGATCCGTAAGTCATCACTGGCATCACGCACTGGTTGTACAATTTCGTTTTCAGGTTTTGAGGTATGTCTAACGAGAAGATGTGTCGTAGTTTCCCGAACGCTGCCCAGCAGAGTTGAATCCGTCGATTGACCTCTCGGTCGAAGTTGGACTTACCTAGTCGGACTACTTGTCCCGGGTAAACATACTCGTCAACAACTTCGAGCTTAGTGCTCCCAACAACTACCGGAATGTGTGTGACATGGACGTTAAACATGATTTTTGTTTTGTCCATGTTCATCTTAAGACCTATCCGTTGGGAGACACTATTGAGCTCATTGAGCACAGTGCTTAGGTCCTCCAGTGATTCTGCCATAAGGACTATATCGTCGGCAAATCGAAGGTATATACCGTATCCTTTCCAGTCCAGTAGCTTGAAAACTTCTTCCAATGCAGCGGTGAAGAGTTTCGGGGATATAACGTCACCCTGTCTTAAACCTCTCTGCAGTTGGATAGGTTTCGTACTCTGATTCTGTACTCGGATAGCCATCGTAGCTCTACTGTACAAACACTTCAGCACTTCGATATACCGACAGTCAATTTGGCACCGCTGAAGGGACTGCAGCATCGCCCAAATTTCGACAGAATCAAAGGCTTTCTCATAGTCCACATACGCAAGGCAAAGTGGCAGATTATACTCCTCAGTCTTCTGTACAATCTACCGTAGGGTATGTATGTGGTCCATGGTACTAAAGCCTTTTCGGAAACCGGCTTGTTCGGGAGGCTGGAAGTCGTCAAGTCTGCGTGCGAGACGATTCGTAATGACTCTCGAAAACAACACGTAGACGCGGCTCAGAAGGGAAATCGGTCTGTAGTTCTTCAAGAGAGCGTTGTCACCTTTCTTGAAAAACAAGACCACCGCTCTTCTGCTCCACGCCTCCGGAGTAGTGCCACCATGAAGGACGGAATTAAAGAGCTTCTGAAGGACTTCAAGTGCAAGTTTTCCACCCGCTTTCAAAAGCTCCACTGTAATTTCATCCTCGCCCGGGGACTTGCCGTTTTTAAGGTGCTGGAGAGCCATTCTAATCTCGCTCAGACTGACGTCCGGGATATCTTCGTAATAGTGTCGGATAAGACTCACTCTTGGATCGTTACCACACTTGCGTGTGGCTCCAACGATGACGTGTACAGCTGCCCATAGAACCTCTCAATCTCACTCAAAATCTCAGGTGTCCCGGAAACGATGCTGCCACACTCGGTCTTCAGCTTTGACAGTTGGGTCTTTCTGGAAGACAGATCTCTGGCAAAGACTTTGGAGCCTTGGTTCCGCTCGATCGCTTCTTTAATACGAGCTGTATTGTAGTTGCGCTAGTCCCGCCGCATGCATTTGGAGATCTGTCTGTTCAGTTGCCTGTATACTGTCAAATCTGTTGAAGAATGTAGCTTCATCTCCCGTCTAAGAGCCATGAGATTAAGAGTGTGATCGGAGATTTTTTGTGTTTTTCTGCGGCGGGTCTTGCAGAACTTAGCTCCGACCGCATGGACAGTTTCCACGAACTTGTCATTCATATCGTCCACTTCATTGCAGTCTTCTAGGCACTGAAAATGATTTTGTAACTCGAGCTGATAGGTTTCGGGACTTTGGAACAGAACACGAGGGGGACGGAGCGTTGACTTCATTAGACGTGACATCTCCAACTTAACGTTTAGGTTCAGTGTGCCTCTAACCATTCGGTGATCGCTACCAGTTTTCACCCTCGCGATCACGGAGACATCACTGAACAGTTGTCGTCTGGTCGTCATAATGAAGTCAATCTCATTTTTTGTCGAACCGTTGGGGCTCGACCAGGTCCACAGGATGCAATATACATAAATATATAATAAATAAATAAATAATACATAAATAAATAAAAGCCCAACCAGATGGAAGCAGCAGGGGATCCCAACCCCCCGGGGGTTAGGGGGAAAAGGAAAGAAACCGGCGGACGATGCGGGCTCTATCGAGGAGTACTGCCTTTTGCATTTGAGTCTGGAGCGGTCCGCCACGCAGTCCTTGTCGGAGATGACCCAAGAGGCGAACTGGGATTAGCCCGTTCGCAGAGATGACTACAGTAATAATTTCGACCGACAAATTATCCCACATCTCAGTCACCTCTTGAGCCAGGTCAAGATATTTTGTTTTGTTATCTGTTTCGGTCCTGAGCCACCTGCATTCATCGACTTCCTGTATATCTTACCAGGTCGTCACTCCATCTAGTGGGGGGACGCCCTACACTTCGTCCGCCGGTACGAGGCCGCCACTCGAAAACCTTCTTTCCCCATCGGTTGTCGGTTCTTGCTATATGGCCGGCCCACTGCCACTTCAGCTTACTAATCCGTTGGGCCATGTCGGTCACTCTGTTTCTCCTGCGGATATCCTCATTTCTAAGTGTATCACGCAGAGAAACTCCGAGCATAGCATGGCATTCCTTGGGAAAGGCCTATGTTCAGCAGTGGACTTGTGAAGGGCTGCAATGATGATGATGATGATCCGTTTCGGCTTTCAAATGGTTCTCGTGACACAGAATGGTAATGTCAACCAAAAATATTCTTGTTATTCATATTAGGCTTATTCGCAAGAATAATCCTATCTGTGATGATGGCCCGGTCCCAGTAGAGCCTGGCGTGGTCATTTTCGAGCACGGCTTCCGGGATGTACTTATAATAAGGCAGTTTCCGATCCACGAGACGGTATTTCAGAGCGAGCACCTGGTGTAGAATCCTGGGTACTAGGTTGTGCCTGTGCAAGTTCTCAGAGTTAGAAAGCGTCGAACAACCAGAGATGACATGCCTAAGTCTCTCACCAGAATGGCGACAAGCTCGACAGATGTCGATGGCGCCATCCTTAACGATGTATCTCCGATAGTTGTTCGTCTTAATAACCTGATCCTGTACCGCACAGACAAAATCCTCGGTTTCCCCATAGAGGTCACCGAACTGTAGCCACTGAAGGAAGGCGACCGTATCACTTTAACGGATACTCATTTTAACGGATTTGATCAATGGTACCATTATAAGCATTCGTCGGCTCTTGTCCGAATGACACACTCAACTCATCGACTCTTTCGTTCGCTTGCTCTCGTACGCTCCCGCTCACACGCGCTGCCACCATGTATGAAAAGAGCTGTTATTCCGATTATCAATCAATGTTCGGAAACGTTTCTTCTAGTACAGTGCTAATATACGTTTCCAATCCCTTCATCGTAGGCGAACTACAAAAGACTAGACACTAGACACCTAGACAGTTCCACAGACCTTTGTATAAAAAAAAACCGGTTTATACCTTTGAGCATAGAAAATTTTTCTATGCTCAAAGATATAAACCGAAAGACAGCTCAGCTGGTTTTGGCGGGAATTTGGCCGGCGGCGGTTTGCTGCTCCTGTAATATTGCTTAAATAATGGTTTGAAGTGGACTTTGATATGTAAAAGTGGTGCGATTTTGTGTATTAAGTTACTGCGTATGTGAACTATTAGTAGAAACTGTGAAACAAGTGCTTTGATGGTGATGTGATTCTCAAAATAAGGTGTCTGTCTGCTTAGGCGCCTTGAGATACCATCGCCAACCGTCAGCTCTCTGCTGGCTCAAGTTGCCGTTAAAATCTCCCAAGGGCTGCACAATGTGACGCATCAACATATTGTGAAGCAGTATACTATGAAGGATAATTATAATGTATTGTAACTTCAGGCTCAGAAGGGCTAGATCCCAGAGCCCGTAAAACCAGTTATTAAAAAAAAGACAGCTCAGCTTCATGTCACAGCTGTCAAAAAGTATTTTAAGCATCACATATTAGTCTGTGGTATTTCCTTAGCCCACAGAGTACTTTTAATGCCTTAGCCATAGCTTCCTGTATAGGACAGTTACTATACTCTTTGGTTACTATACTCTTTGGCCATAGATAAGAGTGCTCTGTTGGCCATAGCCTTAGATTTGGTGGAAAGTATATGTGTAAAAAAAATTATATTTTAATTTATAAACACATATTATAATATGATATACACAGAGTCCAGAGTACCAGTTTAGCAGTTTAGGTTTAGGATTATATTTTTTTTAAAAAGGTTTCGAATTCGATAAAACAAAAATATTAATGTTAATTTTCTAAAATGTCTTACAGCTATGAAGAACTTTCTTTGAGTGGTAAGTCGAATTTTTGTGATCTATAGCAAACCAATTTAATCATATACTTTGTACGAGCGAACAAGGTTTTTTATGTAAATTGTAATTTATGTATTAATTACAAAAATTGTTAATAATAGATTATATTTGTGATTGATTTATAATTTTTTTTTATTTACATATTTATAATTGAAGGTTTATTCTTTTAGAAATTATAGATTTAATGCGACAATGGCGCGAAAATAATGAGAGGAAAAGTGAAGACATCATGGAACTTTGGTTGAATGTTTTAGAAACTAATCTTAATAATTATGGCAATGAAAGTAAGTTGTGTAATAACTATTATTTATACAAGTTTTATTTCAATTTTGTGCTTATTTTTATTAATACTAAGCTAAGCTTATTCGTGTAGGCTCAATTCTTCCAAGTATTTTTTATTTTGTCATGCAGGTTTTCTCACAATATTTTCCTTCATCAGCAAGCATGTGATAAATCAGTACTTAACATTGCAAGCAAAAATTTCATTGGTGTGGTGGGACCAAACCCAAACTTGACATTGATTAAATAACAAACAAATATACACATTTATAATATTATATTGTCACTGAGCTTACAAAAGTCGCCATGTGTTTTGGACCTACTTTACAGGAAACTCAAAAAATATGTGTTCATAGAATATACTGAAAGCATATTATAAATTTATTTTTGTATGATAATGTTACTAACATATTTACATAGAATTAGATTACTATTGGAAAATTAAGATGAAAAATAAGCTTATAAAACAATACATTGCCTGAATTTGAGACATAAGGTGAATTTTTAGCATGATAAAATACCCTTTATGTGCCTCAAGTGCACTTAGTGATTTTGTAATGTTATAGATTTTATAAAAATCATGATTGTTAACACCACATACCTAATAAAGCAAGGTTATTTTTATAATAAACAATTTTAATCACACAAAAATGTCCATATGACTTATTAACTTAAACTGAAAAAATATGAAAACTTAAATGAATTTTATTGCATTGACGAAACCAAACATAATACGTACTCAGTATAATAACTTATTCTTATAGTATTGATATTTGGACTCACAACAGGAGCTAGAATTCTAAATTCAGTAGAGTAGCAGTACCTATACTTATTCCAGTTATTTAAATGAAATAAGTAGGTACTGTACTATGATAATGAGATCTAATCAATGGTTTAAATTATCATAAAATAGGTAGTAATCACAATGCATGTAAAGTTTTATTGATTTGTGAATCCTTTGCATCCCATGTTGGCAACCGACAAAATATCAAATATTATACGTGGTAGAGCCATGCTGCAGCTATTAGTATTATAGTTGTAACACAAATGGGTCTGCTCGACCGGGGAAGGTTTACGCTCTCACAGAATACCAGCGTAAAATAGCAGCTTAACGCTGCTGTGTTTTGTATGGTGAGTGTAGAGAACCGGAGACCCTTTTTACTGGAAACGAGGCATTACATCTTAGTCATCACGGGTGACAACGCATCTGCACTTTGATTCGTAATTGAGGATAAATGTAGATGTCTATGGGCCACAGTAACCACTTACCATCAGGTGGACTGTGTGCTCGTTTGTCACCCTATCCTATAAAAAATAGTCAGCAGTAATGTATGCTAAATCAGTTCTATAAGTCATCACTGGCGTCATGTACTGGTTGTACATTTTATTTGTATAATATGTATACTTATTTTATGTGGCGTATTTGGGCCAGTGACGTTTTGAATGAAAAATGAAAGCTGATGTGTTTAATCAAAATAGTCTGTGATAATACAGAAGTTTTACTTTCCCTCCTAGAATTTTGACAAATCTATCTGTTGAAATATTTAGAAAAGTTACAAACACAGGTGTTAGAAACTTGTTAATATACTAGCTTTTCCTTCTGACTTCGCCCTCGTGTTATTTATTAATCGTATCGAGGATAAATGTAGATGTCTATGGGCCACAGTAACCACTTACCATCAGGTAGACTGTGTGCTCGTTTGTCATCCCTATCCTATAAAAAAATATCCTCCCGCATTTCATTATTTATAATACTAGCACATGAATAGATTTTGTCGGCCTTTTTCTCTTTCAACTCTCTTGTCTTGACTTGACTCTCGTCAACTTTAACGGTCTTATGCCCTGTATAATTCTTTTCTAACAATCTCAACTACTGATTTTTCTTTCTATTATGGTCTCACTCATACAAACCTCGTTTCCCTGGTAGATATTATTGGAAATATATTCCTTTTCAAGAATTATAGGCTCAAATTGACCAGTTTGCTCATTTAGTTGTAGCATCAGTATTATTGAGTGGCACAGAATTGTATTGTTTTTCTAAGGAAGAGTGAGAACCAATACTAGCAGCTGTTGTATGTTAATGTTTGATTTGTTGCTGTGATAAATTTAGTTATTTTTGTTACCTTGCCAGTTGGGATGACTTCTGTCTGTTGGGATTCACTATCCGGTTGTGTAGCTTAAGATGAAGGAAATAGAAATGAAGATTCTTCTTCAAGCTTTGTAGCAAATTGACTTATCGGGAGCTGTTGATGATCCATGCATAATTATATGAGTTGTTTGCTTACAAGGGTAGCAAAATATAAAGCGTTAGTTTAAAGAATTGACTGCATATTTATGCCATTTGCTGTAGAAATTATCGGTCCGTGGGGTCCACGTGCGGTGAAGTTATTAAAGGAATTGTATCCGTCGTGGATGGTCATTGGCACTGCTGGTGATAAGAGGGCTAGTTCTTTTCTCGCTCAAAGACTGAGTATAGCAATTCAGCAAGTAATCTCAATCAGCGTTCTTATCATAAAATCACAGGAAGTTAGGACTATATGATAATTTAAGTTTCAGTTTTCTATTTCAATGTCATAGCAAATAAATATTACTCTTATTTTTAACAATGAAACATTCACAAAAATTGCGTAACCACTTCGATAAAATGCCAAAAGCATACTGAAGAACTTTATAGAAAATATAAGCTATGTAACATTCAAACTATGCATTGCATAATGGTACAGTACTGAACTAATTTAAAAATGTCGCTGTGTGTTGTTAAATGCATAACAGGCGAAATTGATGAGTTTAATCTATATTAATCTTTTATAGCTATGTGATTTGTAACATGTGGTGGTTTTAAAGGAACATTTAATGTATGAATGTCACATGGCTACATTTTCTAACTCTGTGAATATTGACCTTATTACATATCTGATTTTACTGATTGTCTGTATAGCAATAACAATCAAATTGGTATAAAAAAATATAAAATTATAAAAAAGCACATAGTGATTTTTGCAGGCGCAACGATAATATATTATTATTTGAAATAGATAGGGATGTATATGTGTATTATACTGTATGGTTTGAAATCCCTCATTCATCTACTGTCATTGTTAAAATAGTATGTCTATAAAAATATTTTCAATAACATTGAAACCTTTACTTTTACAGAATATGTATTATTAGAACAAATAATTTATGCGGCACTTGACTGTCATCAGTATGGGGTAGCTAATGCACTGATATACTTATTAACAATGGAATTCCCAGGAAGCCTGAGAGTTATGCGTTACAAAGCTGCATTGCTTGAAGCCGAGGAGAAGTTAGTAGTTTAATATTTGCTTAATATTGGTATTTAATGTTTGTGTTTTAGTAGTTGGGTGTTCGACCTTGTGCAATTTATGTTTGTATACTGCCTCCGCGACAAAGGAAAAAATCCTAGACACATGAGTAAAAAAACGTGTGTGTTTGGACTTATGTACGCACGTAAGAGGTTATACTTCTTTAGTGTAACAAAATAAATTAAATAAAACACGTTTTATACATTCATATATATTTGAATTGAATTCAAATTTGAAACTACCTTGAATATAGTTATCAGTCCTCACGAAAACTTTACAGTTAACAGACAATTACTAACTGAAGTTGTCGCTTTTAGGTTTCGGTGTGCGCGCGCATCGTAACAACTTCATGCTGTCGTTTTTAGGTGTCGGTGTGCGCACGCATCGTAAAAAATTAACTCTCATCATTTTTCTCAAATGCACCAAAAGAGGTATAACTTCAAAAATCGAACAGAGGCAAAGCTTTTAAAAAGCATTCAAATTTTTTTCCTATTTTAGTATGCTTGACACAGGAGGATAATATTAAATAAAAAAACCTTGATTAGCTTTTAATTGATTTATTTCTTTAATATGTATTATTTTATTATATACAATATTAAAAACTAAACTACTGATCACTTTAGTTCGCAGTTGTAACGCTTCGAAGTATTCGCTTGTATCGCCAATTCAATACTGACTGGTTCTCTTTTTTTTGCGCCTAATGCAAGGCTACCCTCTGGAAGCGTGGTGGTGAATGATCATAGCATACCACGCAGCCGGCTGCGTGGTTATGTGGGACTCACTGAGAAGTGCCTACCCACTAACACCACTGTAGGACTGGCTCTGGCCTGAGTGCCTTATATAGGACCTCAGATAATTTCCAGAACCTTCTATTGTAGAAACATGTAGAATGTTCGAATACATACCGGTCCTGACTGACTAGGTGTCGATAGTTCTAGAAAGTTCTTCCATGGAAAATTCTAGAAGGATCTTGACTCTCCTAGTTCTGCTACTCCATAATAGAGGGCGCTAGTGGTAACTAGTGTTGCCATGTACCAGGCATTAATGGTGGCGCTCAACACTGCCCCCTCCTAAGACATGCTTTTAATTATATACCTATGATCAAATATTTTTTACAAACTACTAACTAAATATTTTATTATAGCATTTCTTGTTTTTGTATAATTTATTTTGGCTTTTAGTTGAATGGTAAAGAACATATAGCTGACGTGAAGCACCGACGTATCGGGAAGTCTGCAGTTTGTGAACATGTTCAGGATCGGCCCCGTCATTACATTAGATTTGATAGACCACAAATCCTCGCAAAAGAACACCGATTCCTCCCAAGGATGATTCGCGAGGCTATTGAAATTAAAAAACATCCTAATTTCAATAGAGAAGATGGATGGGTGCTGCCATCTGCTTGGGATCCCATAATTAATAAAATCAAATCCAAACCCAAGTATACCACTGCTAGACTTCAAGATACTGTAAGCTCATTCTGCGTAAATCGAACCAAAAATTAATATTAAAAAACTGAAGGTAGCCGGGCTAACTATGACAGCAGGACGTCAAACAACTCAGTCCCCCGTGACCACGGGTGCTGGAAAGCACCCGAAACGTCGGGAATATAAAAATAAGTTAATATACGCGATAAAATCCGTAAAATTAGTTTTATTTAAAGATGAATGGTAAATTTTACATGTAATATAAAGTTACTTATATAATTTAATAGAAAGCACTCACATTACATAGTAAAACTTTGCACATATTTTAATATATATTACTATCAATATTAACAAAATCAAATATTTGCAAAATTTGTTCAAGCAATTCAACAATATCGCATTCGTTGAATTTGTTTATGTATAGGTATGACATGTCTATCAACCACATTAAAAATGATAAATAATTATCTAGTAATAATTACCTACTGGTCTTTGGGATGTATAAATAATGATATATAATGATTTCTTATAATCTTCGTCTTTTAATTTCTTATAGTTTTCGAATTGTAAATACAGTGCAACCTCAATATAACGAAACTGAAGGGAATTAGAAAATATTCGTTATACTAAGTAATTTGTTATAATGAGGTTATCTACAGGTTAGGTGGGACTACCATTCGTTTTAACAAGGTAAGAATATTCGTTTATTAACCTCAACATTAAGTACAGTTCTAGGTGATTTCGGAAAATTTGTTAAATCGAGGAATTCGTTATATTGAGGCTCGTTATATCAAGGTTACACTGTATTATATTCTTATTCAATATACTTCTTATGAATCTGTCGTCCACTGATTGACATGAGGCTCTATCATTGCATAGATGTACTATAATCGTTACGCGATGTTTATCTGCGGCCATGGCATACTCTGTATGAAATGGAGTAGTTTCAAATATTATTGTAACCTAATGATTTCTTATATTTACGCGAACACTACACATTTAAATAAAACTTGTTTTATGGATTTTATCGCGTATATTAGCTTATTTTATATTCCCAACGTTTCGAGTACTGTAGTGGTTAACTATGACATTGGGACGTCATACACATCAGTCCCCCCCGTGACCATGGGTGCTATAAAGTGCTTGAAACGTCGGGAATATAAGTTAATATACGCGATAAAATCCGTAAAACTAGTATTATTTAAATTATTGTAACTTATCATCAGCGAAAGACATCATAGTTCTAAATTGTTTTATTATTCATTTATTCAATACAACCTTTGAAAAGTCCACTGCTTAACTTAAGCCTCGTCCATAAATTACTTCGTAGGAGGGATATTTTCAATAGTTGCTATGCTTGGCAGTAAACTGTATGCACAATTATATTACCCAATGTAACGATTAAGCAATAAGATTGAAAGTAAGTTAGATGCCACACATGAAAAAATATATATCTTTATATATAAAAATGACGTATCACGTTGTTTGTCTGCGATGGACTCCTATTAATTTTGCACCACACTGTGTGCATTTTGGTCCAACTTGAGACATAGGATAGTTTTTATCCTGCTAAATGACACTCAAAATTTTTTATTGCCAATTTAAGGATTTTTATAGGAAGGGTCGTTGGAAAGGGCAGAACAACGTCTGCCTGGCGATGTATTTATTTCTAAACATAAACACAAATTAACATAACAAAATAAATTAATGGAATGGAACTAAAATGGCGTCTACTCGGCACAAATGTTATAGAAACCACATAGTGGTAACTGTAACGCTGTTTTTCCATTTAAATTAATTTAATTTTAAAATACCAACATTTTATGTTTTTGTACAAAAGTTTCTGCTGAAATTCGTATTCTGTGCCCATGACCTTTTACTTAAATATGATATTTGGACAATTCATGTTGTAAAGTAATCATCCCACATATCACTTAGTTATTGCTTCATTTATATAAAATTGAATTTACAACATAACAATGTAGGTAAACATACAAAACATAACTAAATATAGGTTTTGGGCAGTAGCGTAACTTAACTTGTATACCTTGAACCAATCTGCCATTTAGGCATAGCAAGTATGGCAAACCTTTCTTTATGAGGAATTAATGAAATTCAGAGCCAAATTTAAGAATTTGAAGTAAATTTTAAATTACTTAGGAGTATTTTTTAGTTTATTTTTCAACGATGGTTTATATTTCAGGTACGATGAAGCTCTGAACATTCTAGACAGCATCATAAAAGCCGATGAGACAAATGCAGCTGCAAGAAAGCGACGAGTTGCCGTCCTCAAAGCACAAGGCCATATTAATGAAGCTATCAAAGAATTGGCGGACTATTTAAAGAAGTAAGTGGTACACACTCCGTAAATTACTAAATTTTAAGGTAAGGTCAGCCTATTTACCACCTACTGCTGAACTCCTCATATTATTGAGAAGGTATGCAAGCAAGACATGCGGACTTTAGATATCCTAAAAATATTTTTAATTCTCAGACTTGATCATCACACAATGTTTAAGGTGAGACACCAACCCATTACCTGCTACTATTATTCACTTTTTATTATATATTTTGAATACCAGCTTAAAACATAATTTAAGGCTGCTGTTTTGTATGGTGAGTGTGGAGAAATAGAGACCATTTTTACTGGAAACAAGGCATTACATCTTATTCTTTAGTGGTGATATCACCTATGCATTTTGATTCTTAATCGAGGATAAATACAGTGGAACCTCGATAACTTTAATTTCATTGGAAATGCTAAAAATTTCGAATGAATGAGTTTTCAACTTTTTTCCGAACAAAAACTGTTCAGTTTACACCGAACACATTGTGTACACGTCGGCATTTTACTTTTATGTTTTTATTTATTTCATGTTCATGTACGGACGCCAAAAAGGTCTCGTGTGCTAACATACCTAACATTTGTAAACATTATAACAATAAACATATTGTGCAATAACAGTGTTTTAAGTAACATTTACATTAAAACTTGTTAAATAAAACGTTACTTAGAATATTAAACAGTCTAAGTAAACGTAAAAGTAAGTCTAAATAACACATAATGAATTAAACTCATTCATCATACAAAGTACACACAATAGAACAGAAGCAACCAACATTTATGAGTATTAACTATGAATTTGGGGAATTCCAAATGCGGCGTACGAAGTCTGCTTTTGATTATAAATATGTATAATCAATACCCCGCAAGGAAATAAAATTTCGTTCAAGTTACAAACGCTAAATAATTCGAGGTACCACGTATTAAGGGGTTCAGCGGAAGGCAATGGCAATTTTGTCCATTTTACTGAGGATTACGACTTAACGAGGTTCAAGTTATCGAGATTCCACTGCATAGATTTCTATGGACTACATCATCCAATACCATCAAGTTGACTGTGTGCTTGTTTGTCACTATTATTCTATTAAAAAATATTATTATTCTCGGCCGGGGCACACTATAGTGCCAGCTCCTTTCTCGTGACCACACTTAGCTAAGAGAGGTTCGAATCGACGACGACCGAGTCTTTTTTGATCGCCTCGATCCAATGGCGCTGCGAAGACATGTTGCATCCTTTTGTATTTTCTGTCGTATTTATCAAGGAGGTTTAGCTCAGAGGAATTGTTCGGATTAATATTTGCAGCTATTGTCTTATAATTGTGTCTGCAAATCGAACGGTGAAAGTGTTAACATCGTCATAGTACATTAATTTCAACACTGGTAAATGTAAATGGCATTGAGTTATATGTACCTACTACGTACTAGAGAAGCCATTCTGAACAAAAAATGTGCACTACTCTGTCTCCGCGCAAGCGCGGGAGATAGTAGAGTTGCGCATGCGCAGTTGATTTAAGCGCGTTGCGCCTGCGCGGTCAGTTTTTAATTTAAACTTTAATTTGAAATCTTGTATTATTAGCGCCGCTCCACACTGCATGAATATTTAAACCACAGACTAACTAGTAAATTTAAACCACACTAAAGGACACACTTTACGGATTGCAGTACAGTTCAGTTGAACATAGTGTATGTTCGGAATGCGAAATCCGGTACGTAGTATACATATATATCAATGGTAAATGGCAACTTATTATAAAAACATTGTTTTTTTTTTGCCTCAGGTTCATGTCCGACGTAGAGGCTTGGCAGGAGCTTTGCGAGTTGTACTTGCAAGTTCAGGAGTACGGACGCGCCGCCTTTTGTGCCGAGGAACTGATCCTGCACCAGCCACATAACCACCTCATGCACCAGCGTCTCGCCGATATCCGCTATACAATGGTGGGTTTACATTTTATCACTTTAAAAAAAATCGTTATCCTATAATTCATATTTTGTTTTACATAGGTATTTAAATAACATATGGCCACGCTTTCGAAACAATGAGAGCTAAGATATTTACGCTCACCAGTTGTCATTAGACGAAACTAAGGTGAACTTATTTGTTACGCAGATGGTGTTTTTGGTTTCTAGTGTATGTATATTCACAAAATAATGTCCCAGTGTTGTGTTCTTTAATTTGTACACATTTTTAACTTCTTTTTCATTCTTCTACTTTTTGGAACATTCATAGGTTGGTTTATCCATTTCTAATCGGATTAATGTCAGATATAACTTAATATTTCACAAACATTCATCTTTACGCTTTTCTATCAAATTAACTTCCCCATTATGAAATCTGTCAAATATTTCCCCTTCTTTCCTAAATGGCGCCGCCCTGGTGGCAGAAAAAGTCGTCCTCATTGGGTTACACTCGGTCTTTACATAACACAAATCTATGCAAATAAATACAATTTAAGTGTCTGTTTGTAATGTCAAAATAACAGCTTTTTACTAATTGCATATGAAAGTATATACGGTACTTAAACTGTAACTGTCTGTCTGTTTGTTCCGGCTAATCTCCGAAACGGCTGGACCGATTTTGACGGGACTTTCACTGTTAGATAGCTCATTTTACAAGGAGTAACTTGGGTTACTTATATATTTTTTTAAATAATTAGGGTTCCGCGGAACAAAACTAAAACCCTAAATTACACGCGGGCGAAATCGCGGGAAACAGGTAGTTTAAACTAAAAAGCAAATCTATTGAATATAGATGCAATAAATAGTGATTTTGCCAGGTACCGAATTTAGAAGCGCCTAATAATTCGGTCGCAACATATGCGGAGCAAGTTCTAATGACTTGTCAGTAGCTTACTTATAAACTGTAACAGAAAATCTTAACTATAATCTGTTAGAAAAGTGTCTAAAGAGCAAATCTTGTATATAAAGAAAGCTTTGAATTAAAAAGTAAAGATATGGTCGTCAGAAAATTTGCCTGAAGCATTTTTCGTATTAAAAAACTAGCGCCTATTGGATCTAATTCGAACTATAATGTGAGCGGTGGTCTGTCTATAAGATGTATCGCTTTATTTTTGCGAACGATGAGACATATCGAAAACAATATACATATCTTGATCTGATGAACAGAAAATATCAATAAAACTTATATCTTGTTACTGCTTCTCGTCCTAACATACCTCCAACACAATATACAATATTTCTAACAGAAATCTGAACTTATTTGTGAAGAAGGGACTCATAATTTAGTTTTTTTGTAGAAGTTGACGACTTGGTGGAGGTACAGTGGGAAAAAAATGTAATAAAAATATTTAATTACAGGGTGGCGTGGAGAATATGGAATTAGCAAAAACCTACTACTGTCAAGCATTAAAACTAAATCCTGACAACATTCGCGCTTTATTAGGCTTATTCTTGGTAAGTATATATCAATTAATATTTAGAGTATATAGTGCTGATGGACAAGTTTGAAAGCCATTTATACAGTAGTTTTAGTTTCATTAATTGAATTTTTATTTTTGCCAATATCTTAGTTTATACTCACATAATACCAGTGTAAAATATCCTCTTCCCTCCCTGACCGCTCTCGGAGTGTACGTCTGCACTGTCACCGCTAATTTTCTTATCTATACAAATAAATAAAATTGAAGTGTCTGTTTGTAATGTCAAAATAACAGCTTTTTACTAAATGCATATGAAAATATATACGGTACTTATAACAAAAACACAATTTTAAAAATTTTGTCTGTCTGTCTGTCTATTTGTTCCGGCTAATCTCCGAAACGGCTGGACCGATTTCGACGGGACTTTCACTGGCAGAGAGCTGAAGTTATAAGGAGTAACTTAGGCTACTTATATTTTAGAAAAAGAATTAGGGTTCCGCGCAACATTATTAAAACCCTAAATTACACGCGGGCGAAGTCGCGGGGAACAGTTAGTTTTTAATAATTTAAAAATAATTTTAAACTAGTAAAATCGAACGTAATACTAGGAGTGCATGAGTGAAGCATAAGGTACGATGGCCGCTACGATAGTAATTGTACCGCAGTCTTAGCTCCGCCCACCGACTTGACGTAGCACAATACTGGCACACCTGCCGTAGTACGCTACAAACTGTGCTACGAGTCACCACATTTCTACGACGTCGCCTATCTACGGTAACGAATATCCACGCTTTGCTATCGTCCTTTTTGTCCTTTTACGTGGTGGAGCCATGCTAAAGCTATATTACTTTTATAGTTGTAGCACGAATTGGTCGGCTCGACCGGAGAAGAACCACGCTCTCACAGAATACCTCCGTAAAATAGCAGCTTAACGCTGCTATGTTTCGTTTGGTGAGTGTAGAGAACCGGAGACCCTATTTTCTGGAAATGAGACAGTCCATCTTAGTCCACACGGGTGACAACGCATCTGCATTTTGATTCGTAAACGAGGATGAATGTAGATGTCTATGGGTCACAGCAACCACTTACCATCAGGTGGACTGTGTGCTCGTTTGTCATACTATCCTATAAAAAATAAAATAAATAAATAATAGGTATCCTGTGATGCGTGGTCTTGCCCCGGTTGAAGCGACCCATTCGTACTGCAAATACTATATAGCTGCAGCATGGCTCTACCACGTTGTGTCTGTCTGCAAATCAGATCCTGATTACATACAGTGCGGCTACTTGGTTTCGGTTTGAATTGGATCTCTCTATTTAATCAATGAAGACAGGCAGGTACCATCAATTTAAAAAAAATATTCGGGCATTTATATATTTATATATATATTATTTGCCACTATGTCTGGCGTATGTGGACTATGAGAAAGCCTTTGATTCCGTCGAAATTTGGGCGGTGCTGCAGTCCCTTCAGCGGTGCCAAGTTGACTGTCGGTATATCGAAGTGTTGAAGTGCTTGTACAGTAGGGCTACGATGGCTATCCGAGTACAAAACCAGAGTACGAAACCTATCCAATTGCAGAGAGGTGTAAGACAGGGTGACGTCATATCCCCGAAACTCTTCACCGCTGCATTGGAAGACGTTTTCAAGCTTCTGGACTGGAAAGGATACGGTATCAACATCAATGGCGAGTACATCACTCACCTTCGATTTGCCGACGATATAGTCCTTATGGCAGAATCGCTGGAGGACCTAAGCACTATGCTCAATGACCTCGATAGTGTTTCCCAACGGATAGGTCTTAAGATGAACATGGACAAAACAAAGATCATGTTCAATGTCCATGTCACACCTATGCCGGTAGTTGTTGGGAGCACTAAGCTCGAAGTTGTTGACGAGTATGTTTACCTGGGACAAATAGTCCGACTAGGTAAGTCCAACTTCGATCGAGAGGTCAATCGACGGATTCAACTCGGCTGGGCAGCGTTCGGGAAGCTACGACACATCTTCTCGTCAGACATACCTCAAAACCTGAAAACGAAATTGTACAACCAGTGCGTGTTGCCAGTGATGACTTATGGAACTGAGACGTGGTCCTTCACTGCTGGCCGTATGAGGAAGCTCAAGGTCGCTCAGCGAGCTATGGAGAGGGCTATGCTCGGAGTTTCTCTGCGTGATAAACTTAGGAATGAGGATATCCGCAGTAGAACCAGAGTAACCGACATAGCCCAACGGATTAGTAAGCTGAAGTGGCAGTGGGCCGGCCATATAGCTCGAAGAACCGACAACCGATGGGGAAGAAAGGTTCTCGAGTGGCAGCCTCGTACCGGTAGGCGAAGTGTAGGGCGTCCCCCCACGAGATGGAGTGACGACCTGGTAAGACATGCAGGAAGTCGATGGATGCAGGTGGCTCAGGACCGTGCTTTGTGGCATTCTTTGGGGGAGGCCTATGTTCAGCAGTGGACTTGTGAAGGGCTGTAATGATGAATGATGATGATATATATTATTTTCAAAAAAGAAATTATTTAAGAAATTTGTTAGAAATAAGACGTAGGGACAATAAAGGTACATGGGACGTTATTCAAAATTTAAACAACTTAAAAAAGGTTAGCAATACACCTGTTGAATTAATCTGTTCTAGTGATGTGTCACCTAAAGAATCACTTAATGAACTGAATATATATCTTAAGTCGATTGGCAAAACACTAGCTGAAACAACATTAAAGCTACTTGGTGAGACGGAAGAGAGGCTAGCTAGTAAGTGTATGCACAGTAGAAGCTGTGTCGACTCAATAATGTGTTTACCCACTGACCCATTAGAGATAAAGTAAATTGTACAACAGATGAAGGATGCAAAAACACAGGGTTGGGATACGATTAGTGCAAAGATCATAAAACAATCAATAGATATTCTCGTTGATCCACTATGCTATTTATATCACTTGAGCCTGGAAACAGGGGTTTTTCCAGTTCTTTTCAAGAAAGCTATTATAAACCCGATATTCAAAAGCGGAGAAAAACAATTAGCAACTAATTATAGACCAATTGCACTTTTAAGCACACTATCTATAATTCTGGAAAAAATATTTAACATTAGACATACGAAATTTCTTGACCAAAAAAGCCTCATCTCGTCCAATCAGTATGGCTTTAGGAAGAACAAATCTACAGAAAATGCTGTTTTAAAACTAACTACACCAGTGGCCAATTATTTAGATAATAATAATCACTGTGTTGGGGTCTTTTTGGACTTACGAAAGGCTTTTGATACTGTGTCACCGAGGATACTTCTGAAGCGAATGGAGCGAATGGGTATACATGGGATTCCCTATGATTGGTTTAAAGATTACTTAAGTAATCGAAGCCAGCAGATTAAAGTTGGCACACACATTATTGACGAAACTAACTGCGATTACGGAGTCCCACAAGGAAGCACTCTTGGACCAACACTTTTCCTGCTATACGTTAACGATCTCTGCAACATAGAATTGGAAGGAGCTGATTTATTAATGTACGCAGATGATACTGTCCTGATATTTCATCATCAGACTTGGGATGGTGTGCAAACTCTTACAGAAAGAGGACTGTGTGAGGTTTCGAAGGCTCTGGAAAATAGTTTGCTATCGTTAAACGTAGAAAACACGAAATATCTATGTTTCAGAATAACAGAGGCTATTAATCCCTCTAGCAGTTTTAAAGTTAAGATGCACACTTTCCCATGCAATACAATATACCCTTACTTCCTGGCAGAAAGTGTGATTGTAAAGAGCTAGAAATGGTTAAACACGTGCGATATCTAGGAGTGACAATTGACGATAAACGAACTTGGAACCGTCATATTTCAAATGTCACGAGTAGAGTAAGAAAGCTCATTTATATTTTTAAGAACCTAAGAGAAATTGCAGATAGCGACCTATATGTGTACAAGGCTCTTTGCCAATCTGTCATAACATATTGTATTGCAGTGTGGGGAGGAGCAGCGAAATCTCATATGATGGGACTGGAAAGGGCTCAAAGAGCCATTCTAAAAGTTCTATGTCTTCTCCCTTTTAAATATCCCTCACACGCATTGTATCAACACTGTAGGGTTCTGTGAGACAGTTATACTATAAATCTATAGTTCTCAGGTATCATAGGGAAGTTGTACCGTCTTTGCCAACGTCTCAGCGAAGGAGAGAGACATGTCCCACAGTACGGACTCGTACGAAGTTTGCCAAGGACTTCATGAATAACTTAAATTACAAAGATACAGAACACATGATGGAAAGTTTAAAATGAAACACACACACACACACACACACACACACACACACACACACACACACACACATACACGCCCGCACGCCCGCCCGCCCGCACGCACACACGCATACACACACACACACACACAGACACAATTATTGTACACTGTAAGTAATATAATATGTACAATATAGACAAGAGATATGAAGAGCATTGACTCCTGTAACACAGGCTTTCCTAGCACAGGAGTCAAAGATCACTGTTTACACATTTCGTATTCTGTATCAAAAGTAATCAAATTGTAAAATTGTGATTTGTGTAACTTTTCTTTGTGTTTCAATAAATTAATATTTAAAACTTAAAATTTTAAGCAAAAATCTAAATCTTCAATTTTAATCTCAGAACTATTTATATTGCACAGAGTGAAAGCAAAGCGAGAGGTTGGGCTTTACTGTTGATTTGTCTAGGTCACGCTACGCGCTCTTAAATTTGCTATATTATTTTTAAACCGCACTAGCATGTGGAAAAAACACATTAATATGGCAACGTAAAAATGAATGCTAACGTTAATGAATGAAACTGATGCTTTTATTAAAGTTTTGCAATACGTATTATTTAAAAAAAAGTCCAATTATTTTTCCTCTTTCTTTTTTGTCTTCGGTAAAAATAGTGTTTCCAAAATATTCTTTTGTTTTCATTATATTTACATTATACAGGTTTTAATTACATTCATTGTCACCAGGTGGCCAATAATCTGGTGGGTCACTACAAGTCATCAGGCAGTTCAAAGCGGAAGGAAGCATGGAAGCTAGCCCAGTGGGCGCAATCCAAGACTGCAGCTAAGCAGAGGGAAGCGCAGTCCACAGCTTCACCCAACCTTGCTGATATGATGCTGTCCCTTTCACTAGCTGAATAATTCCAAAATTAAATTTAAAGGTATTCTATCAGTTTTATATTCATTACAGCCTGTCAAAAGTCCACTGAACATAGACCTCCCCTTAAATTGCCACATAGGGGGAATTTTTCCATAAATGCCACGCTTGGCAGGTGGATTGGGAACCGCAGATAAGTGTTACTTTCTATTGTTGTCAAGAAGGCGTTGCTGTATATCTCGTATTTCATTTCCCTCTGTCGCATTTTGTGACGTTCACAGGATAACTCGAGGTAGTGGTTTCTCTTAAGGCGGCTACCACATGGCGAAATTTTAAGTCATCTTAAGGTGGAAGCTCCAGGGTGGCCCGCAAAATTCAAATTTTCTTAAGTTTTTTGCAATTTGCAGGTCAGTGTCAGGTTGTATTTTTAACAAAATATGATTCGCGAGCGTAACGAGTATGTATTTACAGAATTATAATCATTATAATCATCAATACAACCGTCCATGTTCGTCTAATTCCAATGTATGGCTATTTCCAGAAAAACTCATTCAAAGGAATTATACGAACTTAAAACTACGTGTTTTTTTCGAACTGTTTCAAGCAAAAATAAACCTTATACCATATCACAAGAGCACATGGTACTTCGTAGGTCTATTCGGCCATATGATAGTAATAAGACGGCAGTTCAACCATTTTAAGCAAAATTAAACAATAAGACAAACGCATTGTTTTCTTTTAACAGGAGACTTGTTTTCCAGAAATTTATTTACAACTTGAGTTTGTGAGCCATCGCAATGAGTGCTATTATTTGTTACTTATTAGACTATTTTTCCATAATATGATTTAAAATCCACCAAGTCAAAATAGTACCATGTAAACGTTAAAAAAAGGTTGTCAACCCCTAAAAATTTCAAATTTTCAAAATATCCAGAAATAAAGCTGCAGGCATGAACTACTTGCAAAATAATGAATATTTTGTTCTGGATAAATCTTCCAAAAAGCAATTTGAGAGAGTTATAACGATTTAAAAAAAGACACGACTCGCGTGTCATACGCCACACACAAAAGTAATCGATGGCACGCCAGGCGTGTGAATATTTTATACCACTTAAAAGAAGTCTTAAAAATAATACGATATCTGAAGAAAAACTTAAATTAAAAATAAGCTGAAACAAAAATAGCTGGTGATCTTCAAACGGCTAAATAGATTTTCTTAAAACATAGCTAAGACAATCTCCATCAAGACACCTTTCAAACGAAAAGAACTTAATCAAAATTGGTTCATCCGTACAGGAGCTATGATGCCACAGGCAGACACACTACAAACATATAACATTGTAACTCTGCTTATTTTGATTATTTCTGAACATCAATTATCTGATTAAATTATTTTACTTGTTTAAACGAAATAAAAAAACAATTCAATTTTTTATTACTTCCCGTTGTGACAACCCTAGCAATTTTATCGTTTGTGTCGGTTTTCCGGCAACATCAAACGCGATGATGACTGTATGTCCTTCTTGGGCTGTGTGTGGTTATGGGCATAGTACTCAGTGCTTTTTATCGGTATAATTTAAATATTTATTGTATCAGTTATGTAGTAATGCAATTCAAATGATTTTATTATTGATAATAATGTCTATTATATTAAGATATTTACTAAATGAATTATCGTTATATACTTGCAGATTGCGGACAGCTTAAGAAGAGTTAACAGGAAAAGAAAACATGTTTAATTTATTTTGTTAACAGATATGACTAAATAATTTTATCTAAATGACTTTTTATTTTTATCTTTGTGTTTTAATATATGGATGGTTTTTGTTTTATATCAGTAATTTGTCTGAGTGTATGTAGCTTACAATCGAAGGTATATAATTAGCTATAAATATTACAATTTATAAATAATCTGGTTGTTTAAAAGGCTACCAGCCAAAATTGGCAATTCCTTAAAAAATGAGTTATAAAGATATGTAACTATTTATTACTTATGAAAAATAAAGCCGATATATAAAATGTATCAATATAGTTGTTAAAAAAGACTTTTTTTTGTTATAATTCCTTAAAACCACAAAAGCTATTCTACTCATCATCCGTTACAGAAGTCCACTGCAGAACATAAGCCTCATATGGGGATGTTTGCCATAGTTGCCACGCTTGGCAAGCGAGTTTTCAACATGCAGTTTTTTATTTTTAGTTGTTATTAGAAAGACGCTGCTGCCCGTCTCCCGATTTGTTTCCCTCTTTCACCTCTTACGGTTGATATGGGGTAGTGTATATTTTTACAACGCATCTACTGATCATCAACAACCGCTTTTAGTCCAATGCTGGACTTAAACTTTTGATATTCAGTAGATCGACTTACCTATATACCATATCCCACGTAAGGCAGACGAGTCAGTGGGCACGAAGCCAATATCCTCGCAATGATGCTGCCCCACAGCATCAGCCCTTGCTAACGCAGATAGAGGCTATTATTAACAGATTCGTTGCGGCACCGATTTTCGATAACTTTTAGGTGTAGCGGCGAACAAATATTTCACACGCCACAGAAGTTGATGTCACGCCTATTGTGCCATCAGCCATGTGTAAAAATAATTTTCTTTTTTATGCTTTTTTCACTTGTTTAGACCTAATTAAGTTTAGTTCACATCAAGCATCAGTTATAAACGGAAGGATACTTGTTTTTAGTGTGTAACTATGTGTTTTTTTACGTCTTTTCTTTGAAATTGAGAGTAAGTGACTTTTTTATGCAGAGGTTACAAACCTTTTGTACTATTTTTTGTTTAATAAAAAATCATTTATATAAGTATTTACAGCTAAACCACCCTGGAAAACCTTGGTTTTTATTAAATTTAATTTTCACCTAATAATAATATTTGTAAATATCTAACAATCAAGAACTTTAATTTCGAAAAAATAAGGTTTATGATTCATTGATATCTACAAATGTTAAAAAAAAGTAAAGTCGATCTGAAAACGTCTAATTAGTAAGAATAGCAAAATAAGTATTCTCAAAAGGAAAAAAAAAACGCCGGCGCTATACGGGTGAGGATTGACAATAGACTATTTATTAGCGAACTTTTTTTATGCATGGACGGTTCCGAACTGTTTCAAGAAAAAATAAACCTTATACCATATCACAAGAGCACATGGTACTTTGTAGGTCTAGTCGGCCATATGATAGTAATAAGACGGAAGTTCGACCATTTTAAGCAAAATTAAACAATAAGATAAACGCATTGTTTTTTTATAACAGGAGACTTGTTTTACAGAAATTTATTTACAACTTGAGTTTGTGAGCGATCGCAATGAATACTAGTATTTGTTACTTATTAGACTATTTTTCCACAACATGATTTAAAACCCACAAAGTAAAAAGAGTATCATGTACAAGTTAAAAAAAGGTTGTCAACCCCTAAAAATTTCAAAATATCCAGAAACGAAGCTGTAGGCATGAACTACTCGGTACAACGGAATATTATTAACGACCCAGTTAAAGTTTAGGATTACGTTACGTTTAAGACAAAAAATCAGGTGGCAGAAGACGTGCGGGTACTTATATACATATAAGGATACCGAGGTAGAGGGCAGGCTGTCGTACGTGGTAGAGTCATGTTACATCTATATTAATAGTTGTATCACGAATGGGTCGGCTCGACCGGGGAAGGACCACGCTCTCACAGAATACCAGCGTAAAAAAGCAGTTTAATGATGCTGTGTTTCGTATGGCGAGTGTAAAGAACCGGAGACCCTTTTTACTGGAGTAGAGGCATTCTATCTTAATCCTCACGGCTGACAACGCATCTTAATTCGCAAACGAAGATAGATGTATATTGTCTATGGGCCACAGCAACCACTTAACATCAGGTGGACTGTGTGCTCGTTTGTAACCCTTATTCTATAAAAAAAGTACGAAGCAAAATTCACTTAGATTCATTCTTACCTAGCTTTTCCCCGCGGCTTCGCTCGCGTAAAAGTCTGTAAACGACGTTACAAACAAGTGGTAAAATTAAACATTATGTACAACCAACTTCAATATAAACAAAATGAGAACATCATCAATATAATCGAAGTCAATTAAATACGCATTTAATTAATAGAATCAGGCGCTACCTTGCGGAAATCCATTATATAAAAGCTTTTACAAAAATTTACTTCGCAAATATTCGCGTTTTAAAATAAAATGATGTGTCTTACCTAGTATGAAAAGCACCTCCCGCCCTCCCTCAATTGCGTGCACTATCCCCGTCACCACTAATCCCAGCACCGCTACTCCCAACACCACTACACTAGGCAAGACACACCACTGACGATAATACGACACGTGTTTCGCCTCTACACGAGGCATCCTCAGGTGATATAGACTCTACGGTGGCTAACCGCAACCGCAAAACAGCATGTTTTATCGCATGACGCAGTCGCTCGCTCCTTTGGTAGAGAGCGGTTGCATCATCGGTTTGTATAAAAGGCACTTGTTTTGGCTCGCCGCTCACTTAGCGGTTAGCCACCGTAGAGTCTATATCACCTGAGGATGCCTCGTGTAGAGGCGAAACACGTGTCGTATTATCGTCAGTGGTGTGTCTTGCCTAGTGTAGTGGTGTTGGGAGTAGCGGTGCTGGGATTAGTGGTGACGGGGATAGTGCACACAATTGAGGGTGGGCGGGAGGTGCTTCTTCATACTAGGTAAGACACATCATTTTATTTTATAACGCGGATATTTGCGAAGTAAATTTTTGTAAAAGCTTTTATAAATACGCATTATCAACCTTCGGCGGCCAACGCCTTTTTTAATACATAGGCTGCACTAAAAGTATCGGGAATGGAATATTTCCACAGTTCCTATCATATTAAAATCTTTTTAATTGAAAACTCCTTGGTTTTAAAAATCGAATACCATTTATTTATTTAAAAAAAGATTCAGGTGACGAATACTGGATATACGCGTACGAACCCGAAACAAAAAATCAGTCACGAGTTTGGGTGTTCGAAAATGAGTTAAAGCCAACAAAAATTGTTCGTTCACGGAGTGTTGCAAAAAAATGGTGGCCACGTTTGTCTCCAAAACCGGCCATGTGACGACTATTCCTCTTGAAGGACAAAGAACGGTTAATGCAGAATGGTATGCTAGCATTTGTTTGCCACAGGTCGTTTCTGAACTCCGTAAAGAGAACTGCAACCGCCGCATCATCCTCCATCACGACAACGCGAGTTCTCACACCGCACACAGAACAAAAAAGTTTTTAGAGCAAGAAAACATAGAATTATTAGACCATCCGCCGTACAGCCCCGACCTAAGCCCTAATGATTTCTATACTTTCCCTAAAATATAGAATAAATTGCGTGGCCAGAGATTTTTATCACCTGAAGAAGCTGTGGACGCCTACAAAACGGCCATTTTGTAGACCCCAACTTCCGAATGGAATAGTTGCTTCAATGATTGGTTCCATCGTATGGAAAAATGTGTCAAATTTCGCGGAGAATACATCGAAAAGCAATAAATACATTTTTAAATAGTAATGTTGTGTCACTTACTTGATTCCCGAAATTTTCAGTGCTGCCCTCGTACATAAATGGCAATAGGGGTGACACATCACCCCATAATTTTAAATTCAAATTAAACGGCAATGTGTAAGATAATCAAAGTTATTTATTATGAGATCAATCGCTTATGCAAATAAAAATATGAAAATAGTGTTAATTACCACACCAATAACTTGGTATATTTTTTGCATCAAATACAGTTAAAACTAATATCTTTGCGATGTTCAGAGCAAGCGGGTTGAAGGCATTTTGTGCAGAAAGTTTTTACTTATTTGTCCCTTTTTCTTGGACACAGTGCACATCTTGCTTGTTACTGTAACTTTGCAAGGGGCTCACCTTCAGAAGGGTACTGCTTTATATTTAGAATATTGCGTAAAGTGACTCCTAATTCTCGCGGCAAATTTGTACTTCGATTTGCCTCATGTGCGGTTCCGCCAATTGTAAAGATAATTTCTTTAAAAATAACTGCACCGGAACTTGTTGGCAGGAGCGTTCGAATGTTTAGCGTCAATATAAAGTACTATAGAATTGACACCAGCTTGATCGAGCATGCCATTAAGGTATTGAACGGTCCAACACTTCTCATGCACGTAGAGTTGATCTATATATCTTGGTGAAAGTCGCGTAATTTTTCGATTGGTGGGTATATAACACAATTTAACCGGTTCAGTGCGGGTGGCACGCCAGGCGTGCCATCGATTATTTTTGTGTGTGGCGTATGACACGCGAGTCGTGTCTTTTTAAAAATCGTTATAACTCACCCAATATGCGTTTTTGGAAGATTTATCCAGAACAAAATATTAATTATTTTGCAAGTAGTTCATGCCTACAGCTTCGTCTCTGGATATTTTAAAAATTTTAAATTTTTAGGGGTTGACAACCTTTTTTTAACTTGTACATGGTACTCTTTTTACTTTGTGGGTTTTAAATCATATTGTGGAAAAATAGTCTAATAAGTAACAAATAATAGCACTCATTGCGATCGCTCACCAACTCAAGTTGTAAATAAATTCCTGGAAAACAAGTATCCTGTTAAAAAAAGAATGTGTTTGTCTTATTGTTTAATTTTGCTTAAAATGGTTGAACTGCCGTCTTATTACTATCATATGGCTGAATAGACCTACGAAGTAGTGCATGTGCTCTTGTGATATGGTGTAAGGTTTTTTTTTGCTTGAAACAGTTCCAAACCGTTCATGCATAAAAAAGTTCGTTTTACACATGGCTGATGGCACAACAGGCGTGTCATCAACTTCTGTGGTGCTGTACACGCCAGGAGTGTCATGAAATATTTGTTCGCCGCCACAGCTAAAAGTTGTCGAAAATCGGTGCCGCAACGAATCGGTTAATTTTTTTTGCTTTGAGTTTTCAGTTCCAATACTCGTTGTCTCTCACTAGTCGGCAAATAGTCATTATATTTCGCCTCGGTGTTCTAGTTGAAGATGGTGGTACAGATGACCAAACATGTCCATTGTTGCCTCTTAGGACATTTGTACGTAATTGTTTGAGCGGCACGTTCTCGTCGTTATTATTTTCACAATTTGAAATAAAGTCCTCCTCCTCCGAGTGCACCAAAACATTATCATTTTCAAACATGCATAGCATCAGCAATATCTTGCAAGTAGTTTCAAATCCGCTCATCATAAGTCGAAGCCATTTTTACCTCACCAAACATTTATATCAGTATCACAAAAAAATTAAACTAACGTAAAAAACAACAGGGGTGACGAGTTAACCCCAGCAATGTCGATATAACAAAAACAATAACTTACCGGGACACGTTGACGCATGTGACTGATTGCATTCACTCCGATTAGAGAATAGATCGAGCGGTAGAAGAGACAAAAACAACACCAACAACATATTGAAAGATTTTTCGAATCGTGGGGTGACGGGTCACCCTGGTTGACTTTCTAGGATTAAGGATAACTCAAAATGGGACCACATGAGAAGCACCACCTTTCAAATCATCAAAAACGGTTCACATGGAAAAAAGTTCTGAGGTAACACACCTAAAAAAATACAGTCTAATTGAGAACCTCCTCCTTTTTTGAAGTTGGTTAAATTACAGTCATTGTGTTACATAGAGATAATTACGCTCTAGATCTATCCTACAGGAACTGTACGTTTTACTTGAATAAAAAGTAGCCTATGCCACTCTTGGGCTCATAAAATATGTCAAAGATATATAGGTATCTATGCATAAAATATAATAAGCAATACGTATATGCTTCAAATCGTGTCGATCAGCTGCTGTTGTCCCGCAGCCGCGTGAAAAATGGACAAACCAACATACACACTTTCGCATTTGTAATATTATACTGGGTGGCGCTTAGGTTATCACGTTAAATAGCACGGCAGTTAATACAAGTTGATATATGTCTGTTAAAATAATAAAATAAACAATAATAAAAACAAAAAAAATGCATCTTTCAAACAATTTAAATAGCTTAAAAAATTACACGAAATAAATCATCCTTGATAATATTAGTTTACTGACCTGAAGTGACTTGTAAAAGCGGCAACGGCACGGCCAGCGGTTCAGGGCTCACGCGACATCGACATAGGTAATTATAATACCTACACTTGCCCATACATAGGTAATTAGGTACGCGTAGGGCGATGCTAATCCGATGTTGTCAACAAATCACTTTCATGGTATTTTTTTATCCAAATAATCACTTTAATCTTGAAATCACTCAAGTTTATTAAACAAATCAAATTTTTAAATTTTCAAAATGTCCGCCGTCTACCCGAATGCATAATTGACATCGTCGCATGATATTGTTTCGGACTTTTCGAAGTAGGTCACCATTGACTGCAGTTTTTTATTTTGTCGAAAGCCCGTATTATTCTTATTTTTAAGTCCTCGTAGATCGGGAGATGGTAACAGAAAATAGTCTCCCATTTTCTCCTGCATGCCTTTTTAAGAATTGATAACTAACTCTAAAATATGAAAGATAGAGGGGTTACGAGCCCTTGCGCGCTTGCACGTCATAAAGAAAGTGGCTTCTCTTTGTGTAAAGAATTTTAGTATTTTTCCGTGATATTATATTGCATGCCTTTGTAATATAACGTAGTTGGAACAAATTTAAGCTATAATAAGTGATTGCATGCAATTCGCAACGGCCGACGGGGCTCAAAGGGTTACACAGTCGTTACTTCAGTAGAGTACACCCAATTTTTTATGTAACCCCATAAAAAGAAATCTAACGGTGTTAGATCCGGAGACCGTGCTGGCCACCGAGAAAGTCCGTATCAGCCAATCCATTTCTCACCGAACATCTCAGTGAGGCGCTGCCTGGCAGCCACCACTGAATGAGCAGGTGCTCCATCAAGCTGATACTATAACCGGCTATTGGCCCCCAACGATAATCCATCAACGTAATCCGCCACTGGGCCGTCAAGCAGTTCCAAAAATTTAGGCCCATTAAGGTTTTCGATAAACACGGGACCAATTATTTGATCTCCGTGAATTCCAGCCCAAACATTAACGGCAAATCTATATTGGTACACAAACTCTCGAGACAGTTGCGGATTTTCTTGACTCCAGTATCGTAAGTTCTGCCGATTCCATATTCCGTTGCGCGTGAATGTGCTCTCCTCAGTCCACATTACGTTTGCTAAAAAGTTAGAGTCATTATCTACTTTGTTCAAGAGCCACTCGCAGTAGGCTTCCCTGACTGGCTTATCTCTATCTAATAAAGCCTTTACGTATTTAAACGGCCCTTGCTTGTTTTTTTTTTTTTTATAATCTGTGAACAGACTTGTGATGTACACAGAATTGGCGAGCTGCTCTACGAAGACTTGACGTTGGATTACGAGCGAAATAATTTAATATTTGTTCTTCTTGAGCCACGGCGACTTGCGGAGGAATTTCAACCTGACTCGGGATCAAATGTTCGCCGTCACGTAATCTTTGGACTGCCCGTATAAAAATCTGAGTGAGTCTGTAGGACATACATGTGTCGTATTATACCTCTCTCGGTATGTTCGTAATGTCAGGGACGCGTTTTGGTGGCATTCTCCGTAAATCAAAACCATATCGGTGTATTCCAATGACGTAAAATTGATACGAGGCATCTTAAAACTTTAAAAAAGTTATACGTTAAAAAAAAGCGTCCAATTGCGCACGGGCTGTCACACCACTAAGTTATTAAATATGATTATCTAGCGTATTATTAACGTGTCCTATCACAAATAAAAATACAATACAGTAAAAGAAAGCGTCCAATTTCTCACAAACTGTCACACCACCTTCTTAACACAATTATTATTATCGTATTAACGTATCGAAACTTCTGAAAATATCCACAAAATAAAATAAAACAACAATTAAAACTTTAAATTAAAAGGACGTGTACGCGAAAAACTAAAATTAGGTCAAGCGACTCATGAGCCAACCCCAAGGACGCCGGCGTCGGACTAAGTGACTTACTGTCTTACTTTATCGTCGCACGCACTAGTCGACAACACGCACCCTCCCGACCCAATTCTTGTTACATCGCGCATAGAGAATTATGCCTTAAGTCGTCTATTTTAACTGATTCGTTGCGGCACCGATTTTCGACAACTTTTAGCTGTGGCGGCAAACGAATATATCATGACACTTTTGGCGTGTCCAGCACCACGGAAGTTGATGACACGCCTGTTGTGCCATCAGCCATGTGTAAAAGTAATTATCTTTTTTATGCTTTTTTCACTTGTTTAGACCTAATTATGTTTAATTGACATCAAACATCAGTTACAAACGGAAGAATACTTGTTTTTACTGGGTAACTACGTGTTATTCTTCGTGTTTTCTATGAAATTGAGAGTAAGTGACTTTTTTATGCAGAGATTACAAACCTTTTGTACTATTTTTTTTTTATAAAAAATCACCGTGGGAAAACCTTGGTTTTTATTAAATCAAATTTTCGCCTAATAATAACATTTGTAAATATCAAACAATCAAGAAATTTAATTTGGAAAAAATAAGGTTTATGATTCATTAATATTTACAAATGTTAAATATTATTTAATGTTATACAAATGTAAAAGTAAAGTCGATCTGAAAACGTCTAATTAGTAAGATAGCAAAACAAGTGTTTTCAAAAAGCAAAAACGCCGGCGCTATACGGCGGCGGATTGAGAAAAGACTATTTATTAGCGAACTTTTTTTATGCATGAAAGGTTTCGAACTGTTTCAAGCAAAAAAAACCTTATACCATATCACAAGAGCACATGCACTATTTCGTAGAGGGGTAGCGTTCGTAAAAGGTAGCCATATAATAGTAATAAGACGGTAATTCAACCATTTTAAACAATAAGACAAACGCATTGTTATTTTTAACAGGATACTTGTTTTCCAGGAATTTATTTACAACTTGAGTTTGTGAGCGATCGCAAGGAGTGCTATTATTTGTTACTTATTAGACTATTTTTCCACAATATGATTTAAAACCTACAAAGTAAAAAGAGTACCATGTACAAGTTAAAAAAAGGTTGTCAACCCCTAAAAATTTCAAATTTTCAAAATATCCAGAAACGAAGCTGTAGGCATTAACTACTTGCAAAATAATGAATATTTTGTTCTGGATAAATCTTTCAAAAACGCATATTGAGCAAGTAATAACGATTTTTAAAAAGACAACTCGCGTGTCATACGCCACACACAAAAATAATCGATGGCATGCCTGGTGTGCGACCCGCACTGAACCGGTTAAATAAATTTTTCGCTTGAATTTGTTTTCACATACCCGCAGCGAGCAATCTCTTTGTTTTTAATTTCGCGCATAAGAATTATGCCTTATATTGTTAGCCATAAGTACATTTTTTGCTTAATTTATTACTTTATTTGAATAACTCGAATTGGCAACGTTTGAACTAGGTACCTTCACCTTCACGGACCATGGGTCTTTGAACTTCTAGTATTCATCAGGTGATATCTAATGCATTTACATGATGTTGTTTAATATTAAAACGAAAAAAAGCTACCGCGACTGCAATGTTAATTGTTATATTTTTTTTAGTTGTGTATGTTTAAATAACTTTGTGTAGTATACGTATTTTCATTTAACGTGATAACTTCATCGTCACTTTGTAGAATAGATATTGATGTCATTTTAGTAAGTACATTGAATAAAAAACCTTTCTATTTACAAACATTTATTTTAGCTATGTTTCTTGTGCTCGCTATTTTGTGCCTTGCCAACAGCATTGGCTGACATCTCTGCCGCCCGCTTCTCTTTCCTCTCTTTCCGCGTCATCTCACCCATGTTGAAGTATTTTTCTCTGTAATCGAAACATAAAACTCGATTGCAAAAACAAAACCTAAGTCTTATTTTATCAGGTATGTTAATTGTAGTTAATTGTTATTGTATGTATATTCAATGTTTAGATAATAGGATTAATAAATATTATTGCGATCTACATAATAATATTTCTAATTCATGAAATTTGGCTTCAAACTAAGCTGGCAGCGTTTTGTCTAATGGCCCCTCTACACTACCCGCGAAGTTGATCGAAGTTGGGCGAGGAGAATAGTGTAGAGAGGTACTTCGATTCGCTTCGTGCAACCTCGCTTCCCCTCGGGCGACTTCCGATCACTATCGGTTTTTCTGCGCCAGAGTCAAATGACTTCGCGAAGTACCCCGAAGTTACACGAAGCGTGTCACTACACTACTCGGCATACACCAGTTACGAATATTTTTTATATATAAATATTAAATATGTAGCTTTCTACATAATTATTTATTTAGTTAACGCATTGACGTCATACTGTATAGTAGCTGCCTCTTGAACGTTATTCATGTTAAGGGTGCGGGAGACTCAAGCCGAAGTAGCACGAGTGTATACTCACGTTCTTCGGACTGCGATCGAATTCGACGAGCACTTCGTCAAAGTTACATCGCGAGTAGAGTTAGAGGAGGCATACATTTTTAAACACAGACGGGCGTACTGCAAGCCTCTTCGCTAACTTTGTTGACAACGAATTGATAGTCATTTTTTTTTATTTATTAGGATCAACAAACAGTTGGCACAATATTTCTTAATCTAGAATATATTTACTACAAAAAATATAATATAATAGTGCAACCAACAACGTTGACCACCAACTACTATTAATAAAAGCTGAGATTGAGATTAGCGCATTTTTCATCTGATACAATGTTTGTGTCTTCAACTAATAAAATGATGAAAAGTAATTATTATTCCAATAACAAATTACACAAACTCATTCTCCTCTGAGTACTGAAAGTAACTCCTTTTTATAAAAACCTACCTTATGAGCAAAAATATCAATGTTATTGAAATTATTATTATAACAATTTACCAACATATACATAGGGGATCTTTTACCTACGTTGGTTCGACATTTATTAGTAAAAAATGTATGTTTGGTATGAACTCTGCGACACAATGGCCTATATGGTACTATGTATTGTATCATATTAACTAGTTCCATACTATCGTACCTGTTATGACAGATATCATACAGTAACATAGCTTGAATCTGTTGACGTCTGGATTTTAATTTAAGTAAGTTATATTCGACCAGCAATTTAACTCGTCTGCACTTGTAATTTACACTACGTAAAAACTTTTTTTGAATGGATTCGATTTTATCTATATATTTATTAAAATACGGACACCAAATAGCTACTGCATATTCGAGTTGTGATCTTATTAAAGATTTATAGAGGTGCAAGTAAGTGAGAGGTTTTTTAAATTCACGACCAATACGCATCACGAAACCATACATTTTAAGAGCCTTATTAATTACGCTTTCTACATGTGTATCAAGGATAAGTTTACTATCTAATATTATTCCTAAATCTTTAATTTTATGAACTTTTTCTAATGGGACTCCACATAAAGAATAATTAAAATTACTTGGCTGACGCTTACGGATAAACGTTATGGCTATACATTTATTAACACTCAAATCAAGCTTATTGCGTTTACAATAAGATGAAAAATTATCTAAATCTTTTTGAAAAATAAGATGATCATGATAATGTTGAATTTTGCGATAAATTTTAATATCATCAGCGTACAAAATAAAATTACAAAACTTGAAACAACTATTAACATCATTAATATACAATATAAAAAGAAGAGGCCCTAAAATTGATCCTTGTGGCACACCAGAACTTATATGCACAATATCTGACTCAAAACCTCTAATAACTACTTTTTGGGTTCGATTTGTCACATACGACTTAAACCATCTCCACAAATTACCACGGATACCATTAAAGGCTAGCTTTTCCAGAAGTAGTTTATGGTCAACGCGATCGAAAGCTTTGCGGAAATCTGTGTATATGCAATCAGTCTGGATGTTACTATCCAGATTCTCAAATAAGTAGTTTGTATAAATTAATAAGTTAGAGACAGTTGAAAGCTTCTTAGTAAAACCGTGCTGCTGCGGAATAATTACACTGTGAAGACTAGGATATATCGCATTATGTATTAACCTTTCAAAAGTTTTAGCGAGTGTTGATAAGATCGATACCGGTCTGTAATTCTCAACATCTTTTTTTGAGCCTGCCTTGTAAATTGGAACAACTCGAGCTGTTTTCCAAATAGATGGGCATATCCCTTTTTTTAAGCATTTATTAAAAAGGTAATGAATTGGTTTTGCAACAGTATGTGCTGTAGCTTTTAAAAAATAAGGAGGGATGTTGTCAATGCCCGCTCCTTTGTTCGCATCTAAATTTAAAAGGGATTTAGTTACATCTTTTTCAAAAATAGAAATGTCAGTAATAATGAAATCAGAATTGTTATTATTTGGTATATTAATGTTGTCATAATTAAAATCTTCTGTGACTAAAGTGGATTCAAATACTGATAAGAAAAAATCAGAGAATAAATTACATACTTCCTTGGTGTTACTAGCACATTTATCTTTATAAAAAATTTCTGAAGGTGTTTCTAGGCTGCTTTTGCAATTTCATACATATTTCCAGAAACATTTTATATTTTGCTTTACACACTTTTCGACAGTATCCATATAATAAGTATAACGTAACTTAGATTCACTTTTAAACCGTTTTCTGTACAATGCAAATGTTCTATAATCTGATAAGTTTCCGTACTTTTTCCATTTAACCCAAGCATTATTTTTATTTTTGAAGATATGTATCAATGATGAATCGAACCACTTAGGAAAATTACTGTTTTTAACAGTTTTCTTTGCTATATATTTGTGTATAATACCATATATTTCGTCATAAAATAAGTCTACAGCCGCTTCAGCAGAAACGTCATCTGCCATCAAAGCTTTCCAATCAGTATTTAATATTACTTTATTAATCAACACGTAGTCCACACTTTCAAAACAGTAACGTGTGTGTTTAGTCGGTATGTATCGGATCTTCTCAGCAAACGGTACTATTACATAAAATGGAGGATGGTGTTTATCAGGACTTACTAAAGGAATAGAGACTGGACATAATATATAGTCATTTATGTTAGTAATAAATAGATCTAGAATAACATTATTTGAATTTCTAAATGTAGTTTTAGGATAGTAATTTTGTAGTACATTGCGTTATATGTTTAACTAGCGATTCGCCCCGTAATCTCTGTATCTTGACAACAGCGCCACCTACCGAGTATAATTGTGAATCTAAACTATCCAGGGACCCACACAAACACGCACAAAACATTTCATCAGAATCGGTCGAGCCAGTAACGAGTTTTCGCGAGACTAACGGATAGCAATTGATTTTTATATAATATAGATAAGAGATTATAAAACAAACTACGTACACCTCACCTAAAGTTATGGGCCATAGCGTTAGGATCCACAGGTAAGTGGGGCACGTCGTCGTGAACTTTCTCGTAGGTGAGCAGCCGCCTCGCAGTCAGCTTCGACAGCACTTGCTCCGAGTTGGCAACCAAGCGGAGACACGGATGAGACGGTAATTCGTCTTCCTTGTATTCGTCTCTGAAAGATAAATATGGTTTTAACTTGCAATGTTATTAACATTACTGTGATTTCACACTCTAGGCGAGTAAAATTAAAATGCATGTTATACGTACATGAACAAAATAATAATAATAATAAAGTTTATTTCAGATATACATATCCATACACATTTTTTAGTAATTTACATAAACTAAGTTAGTAAAAATATAATAATTATAATAATAATATTTATAACTTTGTCTTGCAAAGTTAACAATATTATTATTATTTTCTAGTCGACATAACTGTACCAAATACGTATAATCTTAAAAAAAAGGATAAATAAATTATATCAATACGACGACAGCAATCAGTTAGGAAACTTGAATGTCCCACTCACGTGCATTAGGATCCAATGCCTCTGAATGGGACAGTCAAACCTATCTTGAAATATTCTCGAGACACCATTTGAGCTCTTCTGTAGCATGCATAACATTGACGCAGTTTGCTTCCTTATGATGCTATAAAAACCATCAACACCTGCTTCAGCGAACATGCTCGAAACACTACAGTATCTAGGAAGGCCCATTAGCATCCTAAAGGCATTATTATATTGAATTCGAAGCGCATTGTAGGTCCCCTGAGTATAGTCATACCACAGGCTGCAGGTGTAAAATGAAAAAATAAAAAATAAAAAGAAACCGACCAGAGGCAAAGCTTTTAAGGAGCGTTAAAAATGTTAACCTATTATTGTAGGTTTGACAAAGAAGGATAATAATAAGGACAAGATAATTAAATAAACTATTGATATGGCCCGGCTTCGCACGGTTGATTTCTGGATCTCGACAACAACGGGTCCCCCATTGTGAATCTAAACCGTTCTCTAATCAACTTAATCAAAATCGTTTAAGAGGAGTTCAGTTACATACACACGTACAGAAGAATTATATAATATGCATGGATTATACATATAAACCTTTCTCTTGAATCATTGTCTATTGATGAAAACTGCATCAAAATCCGTTGCGCAGTTTAAAAGACCTAAGCGTACAGACGGCGGGAAGCGACTTTGTTTTATATGACTTAAGCCAGTAGTAGTGTACATATTATATCGCGGTTGTATGATGAAGCTTTGCCTCAGTTTGGTTTCTTTACCCATGTGTTACTGCGGAGTGGTCTTTGAAACATGGTCTGCCACTCTCTCAAAGAGTGTCATTACACTTGGAAATCACACAGCGTAAAAAAGCAGCTTAATGCTGGACCTTCGGTGTAGTAGCTACGTACTCTGTCCATCAGCAGACCTATTCGCTAACTTCTTTGAAAACAAAATGATACTCATTTTGAAGTACATTGCGTCATATGATTTATGAGCCGTAGTAACTTATAGAAAACTTATATAGCATTTTACGCTATGTACTTCAAATTAACTATATTTTTAATAGAATTAGGTTCCAAAGAACTCACAGTCCAGACGATGGTGTAAGTAGATGCTGAGGTCCATAGTACATCTATACTCGGATTAAGAATCAAAATGCCGATGCGTTGTCACCCGTGAGAACTAAGATGGAAAGCCTCGTTTCCAGTAGAAAGGGTCTCCGGTTCTCTACACTCACCATACGAAATACAGCAGCATTGGGCTGCTATTTTGTGAGTGTCGTCCTACCCCGGTCGTGCTACAACCATAATATAGTAGCAGCATAGCTCTACCACGAATAAAATTAATATGTACGTATACGTATTCGTACGTATATACTACGTACACATACGTACGTATTGAAGTCAAAGAACATAGCGAATAGGGCTACAGACCACAAAGTCGTCAATCAACTCTATATATTATTATATTACCTGACTAATGGATACCAGCAAACAAGCCGTCTCCCCATCTCCAGGTGTCTCGCAGCAAAGTTCAGCAGGTCGCTGTAGATGTGCGGCAACCCATACTCCACTTTAGACGGAATGTGGTTCGCCAAGTGCTGATCAGAGAGCGTGTAGTTTTCCCTTTCTATTCCGATTCTCTCCGTTGGCTCGCGGACGCCGTAGGGCGCTGGTTTGAACAACAAAACAGTGCCCAGTGATGATAATCTAAACAACAAATTACGTATTCCACTCTTATAGGGATCCCTGACACCGGAATCCTAACAAATATTTCAAAACCACGGAAACGCTGACACCGCAGCAGGTGCATCGCTAACTTTTTTTATATAGAATATGGGCGACAAACGAGCACACAGTACACTTGATGGTAAAGTGGATGAGGTGGCCCATAGACATCTACATTTATCCTCGGTTTCAAAATCAAATACAGATGCGTTGTCACCCATGAGGACTAAGATGGAATGCCGCGTTTCCAGTAAAAAGGGTCTCTGGTTCTCTACATTCACAATACGAAACACAGTAGCATTAAGCTGCTATTTTACGCTGGTACTCTGTGAGAGCGTGGTACTATCCCGGTCGATCCATTCGTGCTACAACCATAATATAGCTGCAGTTTCGCTCTCCCACGTTATAAAACCAAGTGACCAAGCCACTGGACGTCAAGTCACCAACAGAAATATTGCAAAACCACGGAAACGTTGACGCCGCAGTACGTGCATCGCCAACGTGACCAAGCCTACCGGACATCGAGTCACCGTCTTCATCCTCACTCTGTATCTAACCTCGATCACGGTCACTAGTCTTAGGAATAATTTGTAATTATTTTATTTTCATTAAATTACTTTTTTTCGATCATCTGGCGCTGGCTCTCGTATTTAACAGTGATGTGGCACTGATTTGTTGTAGCTTCAGACAAACAAAAAAATATATAGAAGGCGCGCTGTATACATTTCAAAGTTATGCCGAAACCATGGTTTACTTGAATCACTCACACACACATCATTCTTGACAATAGACAATATGAGAAATGTTTACAATTGTATATAGGTACATTAGACCTATATTTTTAAATTTTTGTTATTGTTGAACCCATGAACTACCACGTGGAACGTGGCATCAGAAGAAGAAAAATATCACAATAAATTGATTTTGTTGTATTTAAAAATTACAATTTCACATTATAAGTCACAAGGGCCGTAATACGCGTGCATTGCGTCAAATAAGTCATTTATACAGTGGACTTTAATTCAATAATAACTTTCAGTATATATTATATATACATTTCAATCAAGTTAATTTTATAAGAGTGCCGTAAACAGGTCGTGGCATAGAAATTAGAGATCGCATCTTAGCAAACGTAATATAAGATGCCCCCAGACTAGATGGGGCACGATCTACGTAAAGTGGTTGCGACTGGACGTGTGAGACCGTGCCTCAGTTCAGCTCTCAGACATTGAATTTCATTATAGCGTATCACTTGCTAAAATTAACAGAAGCACAGTAAGCGCAGTGGCTTATTGGATGTCGCAGTTTCGAATCCCGTACAGATTAAACTACTTGAATGGCCTACGAATAATTCTTTCTGGTCTGGATGTTTGTTCATATACAATTAATGTATGTAAAACGACCCCACTATGCAGAAGAAATTTTTAGGTTGTAGAATAAAGATGCATTTATCATAATGATCATTACAGCCCATTACAGAACATAGGTCTCTCCCTAAAAACGTGGTAGAACCACGCTGCAGCTATATTAGTTGTATAGTTGTAGCACAAATGGTTCGGCTCGACCGAGGAAGTACCACGCTCTCACAGAATACCAGCGTACAATAGCAGCTCAATGCTGCTGTGTTTCGTATGGCGAGTGTAGAGAACCGGAGACCCTTTTTACTAGTAGGATAGATGTAGATGTCTATGGGCCACAGCAACCACTTACCATCAGGTGGACTGCGTGCTCGCTTGTCAGCCTTTTACAATAAAAAAAAACAAAGCACGATATGATCCACCCGCATCCATCCTGCACTTTTTAGCAGGTGGTGACTCCGTCTACTTGGTGGCCACTGTACACTTAGCTTACAAAGGCAATATTCGTGTATCCCTAAAATGTTAACTCAGTCTTGCTGCTTTCAAATTCAGCTACTTCTGAACAGTTTCATCCACTGACGTCTTTCTTTCTTTATGTCCTCTTAATTGTCCATTGCTGAACATGAACATGTTGATACTGACGTCTTTCAATTATAATTCCTATCCAACTATCCTTTTATTGCGATACATGTTGGGAGCCTCGATATTTGGCGTTTAACTTAGTTGACCTTCACAATGATATAGTAGAGGTCATATTACTCGTAAATGTGTTATGTCGTTAATATTTTATATTTTAATTTTTCCTTTACCTTGTTATAATTTTTGTTCTAATATAAAATTTAATAATTTTGGAAACTATTACTAATTATTAAGTTTAAACCTTCAGAGGAACCACATTTCGAAACGGTAGTAGATTAAGTAAGTTTAATTTCATTACATGGGATAATGATTTAGCAGTGGACTGTAACCGCTCTTGATGATGAAATTAAAGCAAGTTAAAGAAAGAAACATTTTGATTGATATTTTGCCCTGATCTTGTAAGAACTAAATTTTAAAAAAGCTTAGTCTACTAAGTTGAGAAAATGTTCGACAAATGTATACGTGGTAGAGCCACAGAGTAAAGAGTAAGGACCAGAGGGGAAGCTTCTTAACAACGTCGAAAATGTATACTTATTCTGATAGGGTGGTCACATAATGCATGTGAAAATTTTAAGGAAAAAATGGTGGTGGTGATGGAGCCACTGTTGGTCCACTGCCTACTACGATACTACCACCTCCACGACTACTGACACCATCAGCTACACTATCCACCAACACCAGCACCACTTCCACCAACACCAATCCCACCACCCCCACCGATGTCTGGCGATTGTATTCCAACCATAATGCAGTGGTATTTACCCCTAGGGTCGCGACTCGCAAAAAGTAACTTATATCCTTCCCCAGGAAGCAACCTACCTCTATACTAAAGTGGGTAGATAAAGTCACACATTTAGCCTTATTACGTAAGATATCTATAATCTGCGGCACTGTCAAGGTTAAACTGACTAACGTTTCAAGTAGGTGAGACCGACTTCATCACTCGGCTGCGTACCTGTCTAACACATTCTCACTTACCTATCAATACGTAAAAAGGTACTTAGTTCACTTGATCTCTTGGGTACAAAAAAGGAAATATCGTTATTTTCTCTAGAATTATTCATGTATACTGTACAACTTTTAGACATTTTTGCTTATACAAAACACTTATTATTTACCTATATAAATTTGTAATAACTTAATTTTTAATTAAAATACTTAAATCTAATTATTTAATAATTGCAAAAAAACTTAATAAATTAATTGATGTATAAAATTTCGAAATATTGTTGATCTATTTATTTAAATGCGCACGTCTAACAGCCCTTTCATGGATACTCTGACTGAGCCGGCGCAAACCGGTTTGTACCCCGACGGAGCGTCGGTGAACCTGTCGGTGAGAGCTCACGCACACATCGCGGGGCTATGTATGGTCGCTTTCTTTACTAATGTGGTAGAGCCGCGCTGCAGCTATATTATGGACTAGCTGTTCCTCACGACTTCGCCCGCGTGTTATTTGGGGTTTTAATTTCTTTGCGCGGAACCCGAATTATTTTTATAAAATAAATGTAGCCTAAATTACTGCTTGTGACGTCAGCTATCTGCCAATGAAAACCCCGTCAAAATAGGTCCAGCCGTTTCGGAGATTAGCCGGAACAAACAGACAGAAAGACGGACAGACAGGCAAAAACTTTAAAAATTGTATTTTTGTTAATAGTACCGTATATACATTTAGTAAAAAGCTTTAATTTTGACATTACAAACAGACACTTCAATTTTACTTATTTGTATAGATGTAGCGCGAAAGGGTCGGGCTTGACTGGGGTAGGACCACGTTCTGGGTGACAACACACCCGCATTTTGATTCTTAACTTTGGATAGATGTGGATGTGTTTATCAGGTGGACTTTGTGCTCGTTTGTCACCCTTATTCTATAAAAAAATACAAATAAGACCCAAGACTTCTGACTGAACAACCAGACATATCTAAAAATTAAAAAAAATACGTTTATTTTCTTGGTACTCAAACTCAATTTAACATTCACAAGTGTTCTTAACCTTATGTTGATAAAATTGATGTTAAGATGTCTATGAAACTCACGATCTGTGACAATGGCGTCAAATCTTAGGTCGTCTCTCCACATCGGTAGCGAAAAATCGCTCACCACCACGTCCAAGTAACGGGATTCGATCCCGTACTGCTTCATGTTGCCCTTGATGCTCTCGTCTTTTTTACGCACCTGAATCATTTGTTAAACATAGTTTGATTTACATGGTTTCCAGAATAAAATATTCATTTGAAACAGTAATGTGCAAACAAGCTTTAATTGTGTTGAATTGACGCACTCATTGATTCATGTGATAGAACCATGTTGCTCAAAATAGCAGCATTGTGTTTCGTATGGTAAGAAACGAGAACCGTACCGTAACAAAGGCATTCAATATCAGGTACCTCGAGTGCGTCAACGCGTCTACATTTTGATTCTTAATGGAGGATAGATGTAGGTGCCTATGGACCACAGCATCTTGCCATCAGGTGGACTGAATTCTTGTTTGTTACTCTTCTATAAGTACAATTAATAAGTATATATTTCTATAAGTTAATAAGTTCTATTCGTAGTTTATTACTCTAAGGCCAATGTCAAACACTTAATAGTCTATGGTCAACAGTCACACAGAGAAAATGTTGCCAAGAAAACGCTTCGAATTTTGTGTGGTTTAAATCATCATCGTCGTCACAGCCCTTCACAAGTCCGCTGCTGAACATAGGCCTCCCCCATGGAATGCTACAAAGCACGGTCCTGAGCCACCTACATCCATCGACTTACCAGGTCGTCACTCCATCTCGTGGGGGTCGCCCTACACTTCGCCTACCGGTACGAGGCTACCACTTGAGAACCTTTTTTCTCATCGGTTGTCGGTTCTTCGAGCTATATGGCTGGTCCATTGCAACTTCAATTTACTAATCCGTTGGGCTATGTCGGTCACTCTTGTTCTACTGTGTATATCCTAATTTCTAAGTTTATCACGCAGAAAAAACCTGAGCATAGCCCTCTCCATAGCTCGTTGAGCGACCTTGAGCTTCCTTATATGGCCAGCAGTGAAGTTTTTATGTAAACAAAAAATAATTCAACATCTTTAACAAAATTAATAACCCTTAAGTCCCATGTAATACATACATTGTTACCTTTTGTCCCACTCGCGTTGGACGTGATCTGGCATGCAGCATCATGAAGTCAATGTCTGAACCCCACACATGTGCTAAAAATAAAATATCCCCTTACATATTTCTCAAATTATAATTAATGGGAATAGAGAACGAGATAATTGTTGTATTACATAACTAGCTGTTCCCCGCGACTTCGTCCGCGTGGAATTTATTACTATTGGATTTCATGGGTTTTAATTTTTTTGCGTGGAACTCTAATTCTTTTTCTAAAATAAAAGTAGCTTAATTTACTCTTATAACATCAGCTATCTGCCAGTGAAAGTCCCGCCACAATTGGAGATTAGCCGGAACAAACAGACAGACGGACAGACAGACAAAAATGTTAAAAATTGTTTTTTTTTATTACTAGTACCGTACATACTTTCATATGCATTTAGTAAAAAGCTGTTATTTTGACATTACAAACAGGCGCTTCAATTTTATTTATTTGTATAGATGTATAGATAACTTACCTCCAAAATGTCCTGCGGCAACAAGCAGCGACCCGGATCCAACGAATGGGTCAAGTAGTATGTCACCCGGTAGAACCTGAGCCTGGTTAGCCATGATCAGGGAAAGCTGCGCGTCCATGCTCGTGTTGCCAATAAACTGGCGTCGCTTTAGAGAGTGCCGTTGGATGAGGTCGCGCTGGCCGTCTGCGATCTACATTCAAAATAAATTATAGGGCCAGTTTAATTATTTTGTCTAATCAGGGATAATATTAGTTCTATACGTCTAATTATCTTTGTCTATTTGTACAGAGGAGATTACGTCAAGTATTATTCAAACTTCAATCACATCCATTTGACAACCTAACATTATCAAGTTACTCATATATTTTAGCACTGACATAGTTATAACTCAAGACCTTTTACTTGGTTTATTTTTATTAATCTATTATCTTAGTTACAAATATCATACATTTACTTTTAGTGCCATTAAAATGCAAATAAACCTTAATGCATTCCCGTTCCAATACAATGCTAATGCAAACTTAAGTTAATCCATTGTTTAGTCTTTTTTAGTGGCAAAAATTAGGGACTCTTGATAACAGCATTAAGTTTTTGAATGATGAAATGCTGGTTTTACTAATGAGGCAGTGTCTAGCCAGTTGAATACTTTCCGTATCCTTAACCTCAACTCCTTACATCTTCACACTAAACTTGTATTAAGAAGTACTTATACCCATAAGTACTGCTTTTAAAGTTCCATGGTTACTTATGTTCTTTGAAAATATTTTAATGAAAAATTCTAACAAATAGAGAAATAAAATGTAGTGCTCTTTATAGCTTCCTGATAAGCTTTAAACTTCATCATACCATCTACAGTAATAAAGTATATTGTAATGTACTATCATACATCTATATACAAAAATCAATTGGTGTTTAAAGTAATTTGAAAATATGACATACCCATCTTCCAAAAAACACATCATAGGGCTGTTCTGGTACATTATTTGGATCAACACCATAGAATTCAAGGTAAGACAATGTTATGTCTGGATTCTTCAATTTCACTGGCCCCTCTAATGGAAGATAACTAAAATTCTGTAAATTATTACAAACAAAATTATTATTATTATAACTACATTAAAATTGTCCAAATTCACTGTAATTTGTTTTGGGACACAGAAAATAAATGTCAGTTTTTTTAAATATAATTAGGGTGACAAATGAGCACACAGTCCACCTCACAGTAAGTGGATGGATGCTGTGGCCCATAGGCTTCTACATTTATTCTCAAAATGCAATTAATGCATTGTGACAATGGAGGATAAAGATGGAGTGACTCCTTTCCAGTAAAAAGGGTCTCCCGTTCTCTACACTCGCGATATGAAACACAAGAACATTAAGCTGATATTTTACACTGATATTCTGTGAGTGTGGTCCCACCCCGGTTGAGCCGACCCATTCGTGCTACAACCATAATATAGATGCAGCGTAGCCCTACCACGTAAAAAGCTCAGATACATCTTTTATTAGAATTTAGCCATTGTTCTTTTAGAATAAAAAAAAATTACCTCAATTTTATCAACCTTTTCTCTCATAGAGAAATGTTTACAGAAGGTCTCTACATCCACTTTAAATGACTTGCTTGGATTACAACATGCTGTGATTAGTTCACTTGGACAGATTTGGGAGTATGTTAAATCATTATCATCAGAAGCAAGTTGAGATACCCATTGTCCTGATATGTTTTTGATAGCAATCTTTAAATTGTCATGTAATTGAGCTTCACATTTTGCATGAGACCATAATTCAATACAATTCTTAACAAGAACAGATCTTGAGGCGATTATTCTTACATGATCTTCTGACGGTAATTCTACGACCCAGTATGGTTTCTTGATACAAGGTTTTTCAATAAATTTTATTGGAATATCAAACATAGAAAGAATACTTTGCATTTCCTGAAATATAAAATGTTTTTAGTTATGAATTTAGTATGTACTTATTTGATTTCTTAGCAGTTAATTTATCTTTAACTTACAGCATGTCTAAAATCGACATGTTCGTGGGCAAACCACATTAAATAACGACGCCACATTTTATTAACTGTGGTTAGTATACTTTTTGTTGCATAAACTTATAAAGTACATACTTTTATTTATATAACAATAAACATTAAACCATCTCTAGTATATTATATATTCGTATATATAATGTACTCTGTGATCACAGAGTACATTATATATAGGGAATCTGTGATATTCGTGTAGAATCTACCGAATCTACTAGTTAGGTAGTTATAGTTAGTCTGTGGTATATATACAGTAATCTATGCATTAAACATAACCTCATTTCGGTTTACACAATATTTTTTTTAAACTGGCTTTACGGCTCTGGGTTCCAGCGCTTCTGAGCCTGAAGTTACAATGTCTTTCATAGTACACTGCTTCACGAGTTTTGGCGGGAACTTAATCGGCGGCGGTTTGCTGCTCCTGTATTATAGTTTAAATAATATTTTGAAGTGGATTTTGATATGTAAAAGTGGTGCGATTTTATGTATTAACTGTCTACACATGTGAACTATTAGTGGAAACGGTGAAACAAAAGCTCTGATGGTGATGGATTCTCAAGATAAGCTGTTTGTTTGCATAGGCGCCTTTAGATACCATCGCCAACTGTCAACTGCCTGCTGGCTCAAGTTGCCGTCAAAATCTCCCAAGGGCTGCACAATGTGACGCATCAACATATTGTGAAGCAGTGAACTATGAACGATAATTATATATAAAGACAAGGCTGTATGGCATAGTTCCTTTGCCTGCTCTCTCGAGCGAATAATAAAAACAACAACAACATTGCTTCACAATATGTGATGCGCTACATTGTGCAGCCCATGGGAGATTGTGATGGTAACTTGAGCCGAGCCAGCAGACAGTTGATTATGGTATCTCAAGGAGCCTTAGCAGACAGACACCATATCTTGAGAATCACAATACCATCAGAGCGCCCAAACAAGCTTTCGGCTGAACTAAACCGCCTCCTGGCGACTCAGGCCGAATCTTCCCCCCGCCCTTAATTTGCCTTAATAATAGACCCCCCCTCAGCGTCTCCTCGCCGCCTGCGCCCCCTTTTCCCTAAAGAGGGTCGCTTCCGATTCAGCAGAAAGGCTACAAAAGCCAATGCTAATCTCACAGGTGGTGTTTAGTGGGTAGGCACTTAGGTTAGGTTAGTCGCAGTGAGTCCCACATAACCACGACAGCCGGCTGTCGTGGTATGCTTAGAGCAATCACCACCTCCCTTCCTCGCTTTCCGGAGGGTAGCCATTTCCATTGCATCTGGACGCAAAAATAAACCATCAGAGCACTTGTTTCACCGTTTCCATTTATAGTTCACATGCACTCTTAATACACAAAATCGCACCACTTTTACATATCATAATCCGCTTTAAACCGTTATTTAAACAATAATACAGAAGCAGCAAACCGCCGCCGGTCAAGTTCCCGCTGAAACCCCCGGTTTATACAAAGGTACTCTGTGCCCAAATAGTATAGTAACTGTCTTATACTCAGTACTCTTTTGGAGGTTTTTTCGAAGCAGTTATTCAATAATTGTGTGTTTGTTGGTTAAGAATAAGAATAGTATTTATTTGCTGTAATATTGAAATATATACAATTATTAAAAAAACAACTAAAACTAAAAACCTAAATTATCATACAGTCCTACTCCCCGTGGTATCGTGTCAAAAAACGCTGGCTGCTTTTCCTCGTCGAATGCCTGTTAGCGAGAAAAGAACCAGCACTCTTTATCACCAGCAGCGACGTGCAGTGGTGGATACAGTTCCTTTTTTATAGGATAAGGGTGACAAACGAGCACACAGTCCACCTGATGGTAAGTGGTTACTGCGACCCATAAACATCTACCATTATCAGCCTCAACACCAGCAAATAGGGTCTCCGGTTCTCTACACTCACCATACGAAACACAGCAGCATTATGCTGCTATTTTACGCTGGTATTCTGTGCGAGCGTGGTCTTTCCCCGGTCGAGCCGACCCATTCGTGCTACAACTATACTACTAATAGGACAAAGGCCCGAAATAATCTACCCCGGTGTATGTAAACGGTCGCGCAAACGTCCCTTACCGTTCGGGTGGTAAGTCGCCTATAACCACCCGCCGTGGTGTTGCCTTGGTGGTGCAGTGGTGTTGCAGACATCTCCGTTTCACTTCTCGCACGGTCGGTCGTGGTCGGAGGATATGATATCTGGTTCGTAAGTCGTTGACCACTCTCCCTATTGGCGTGGCTTGCTTCTTGATGCGCCTTTTCTACCAGCAGCTTCACAAATCGATGGCGTCCATTCCGGATTATGGATCGCTTCATCCGGTCGTCCACGTCGGCTGCGTCGATTCTTCCCCTAGCTCGTAGTATTCCATCCGCGATTATTTTTTTTTTTTACATTATGGGGTCGGGTTCCCTCAAAGCGCTGCCAGTGACCAGGTTCTTCTCCTGCTGAAGTCAGCTGATGTCTTCAGTGAATCTGTCGAGCTGACTGCGTTCCACTAACATCCGCTCTGCCCTCTGGATGTGCTGTAGCGTTAACTTTCGAACCCGTCCTCGTATGGCATCGTTGAACTGCAGTACTCGTGCTGTGGTTCTGATTAATCTCTCGTATGAAGAAAAGCGTTCTATCTCTGGCAGGTGTGGGGCGTCTCGGTCTCAATGTGATGCGCTACAATTTCTTCTCACTCTTCATCTTCTCATGCCTTCTCTCCTTTCCGCTGTGGCCATTTGCTTTCGTCTTCGTAGAGGAATGACGGTCCGGTGAACCATTGGTCGGTTTCCTCTTAGTGCCTGTCATGCATAAGTTCCGCGATGAGTACGTTCCCTATAATCGTGCGATCGGTTCCCTATTACTCCCCCCGTGGGAGCATAGCACGTATGCCTACACTCCGACGACTGTTCGGTGGTTCGGAGTCTTCAAGCTGCCATATAAGCTAGGTGGCATCCTGACGTCGTCTTCCCTCCATGGCAGTCTGACTTGGTATTGCTCGCCGACCTTCTTGACGGTGCCCTGGAAGATGTCGACAGCGCACTCCTCTTCCCGTCTTGGCCTATTCTTGAGCGAGATACCCATCGAGTCGATCTCGTACTGCCTCTTGAGGAGATCCGTCAACTCTTCGTCCAGACTGGCGAACGTCTTAACGTCTCTATGTAACTGCCCGTTAACGTTTGACAGGTGTAAAACTGTTTCACCGTCTTGTCTACACATTACACGCGGCGCGGTCTCTTATATTATCCATCCTAGCAACGTCCTAGCGGCGATAGGTTGCTTGCGACGTCCTATCCGTAAGTTGCGCGTGAAAATTAGATGCCAATTATTTGCCCCTATTAACACCTTTGCTTTCGAGTCGTTGTACTTCGCATACTTCGCTCGGTAAACCGCGTAAGTGTCTTAACTGTGTCTACCGACTGCGATCCTACCGTTAAATTATTTATTTTTCGCGCACTTACATTACATATCTCGTTTTTCATTTTTCCGCGTATCCCTATTGCGACTATTTGACTGTTAGCCTCGCGTTGGCTATTAGATACGCCTCGAATATAGCGGCTACGTCGGTCCTTTCGCGCTTAACTCGCGAGCTAAAAAGCACTAACGCACTACTAGCTGTGTTCGACGCGACGGGCACTGTTTCGTCTGGTTTGGCAGATGTTTCCGGTGTCCGAGTCTTGTGGGCGTGAAGTAACGTGTGATGAGGGGCGCTGCAGCCGTCGACACCGCACTTCTTGGCTTTACACCTCAGGCGTCGATGCTTGCTGCTTAGGCACCTAAAACATACCCCCTCTTCCTTCACCCACTTCCACCACATTTAGCGATTACGTGTTCACCTCACAACCCAAACACTGGACACTTTCGTTGTCCTCTTGGGTGGTGAACGTCCTTACGTCGCGGACCTATACTCTGCGTGGCGTGTGACTACAATCTTTCTCGACGGCGGTGCTTCTTTTTTTACGGGCGCTTGCCTAGTCGGCGCTGCGGACGTATAAGCGTGACTTAACGCACGGTCAGCCTCTCTCATCATAAACCGGGATAGTGTGACTATATCCGGTTCGTCAGCACTTCCGTAGTGCTCCGGGTAATCGCACCAACGCGACCGTAAGTGAGGGCTAAAGGCGGGTACTGACCTGCCTGCCGCAGGGGCAATCTAGGGAGCACAGCGATCGGAGCAATATCGGAGCTGTCTTTACACACACACCTGCCGTTCAGTATGAGAGTGTATGTCTCGCTGGACGCACGCGTTGGGAATGGCGCCAGTTTTATCGAAATATCAATGAATCAGTATATATAGCCTTGGCTCTTTTTTATATAGAATAAGGGTGACAAATGAGCACAGTCCACCTGATAGTAAGTGGACACTGTGGCCTATAGACACCCACATTTATCAATAAAACAACCAATTAATTAATAATTGCAACCATAATATAGTGCTTAGAAGCTGCAGCATAGCTCTGCCACGCTATTTTAAGGCTATCAAAGACAAATATGACTAACTTTACTCGTCATAATTTAATATAACCAATTTATTCTGTGATATAACTTAACTATCTAGTGCTTAGTAACTATAATTTAACTAGTGTTACAAATAGCCAGGATAGTTTTCTAATGATGGTTTCAATAAAATTTAATTACTAAAATTTGTATTTTTGTTGAAATATTTATATAATGACATTTTATTTATATTACAGCAATTTTAATATTATTTGAATATTTATGATAAGTTAGGTACCAAATCCCAGTAATGTTACTTGTAAGTTACAACGCTCAAATAACATTCTTTCTGCGGGTCTGACTTGTAATCATACGTGTGCTCCGCGCGAAAGTCGCAATCAAAGAGTATAGTAACTGTCCTATACAGGAAGTCGCAACGAACTGATTGAAATTGCCCCAATTGCGCTACACCATAGACATAGTATCTTAATCTACGCGCAACACACGCGACAGTGGCAGGGTCAATCTAGGGAGCAAGGAAGGTCTTGCGCTCCTGCAGTGCTGCAAAAGGGAAAAATAAAAAATCGGTAGATTTGCCAGCTAAAAATCTGGATAAATCGGGAGATTTTTATTTACATCCATGGGTTTAGAAATGTATCATAAAACGTTCTTTTAGATGTCGTTCTTTTTTCTTAATTATTTTTTTGATAACTAATGCTACCTAACAAATTTGGACATAAAGCACAACAGTTCTCAACAAAACAGAAGAAGGCTAGTAATTAGTGAATGTAATTCTATGAACGAACAACACTATATATACATGGCCTAAGCTACCTAATTCGTAAAGCAACCCGAACAAAGTAATCATTAGGGATCTCCCCCGTACACTTACCAGACAATAATGAACTCTATTTTAAGATGTATCAGTGCAATATGCTTTAACCATACCGCGAAGTTAAAAACCTAATAAGGTTATAGGTATAGGTCCCATAGGACGTGGTGCGAGCAATTTCGGGAAGTCCCCGTACATAGATTTTGTGTTAAAAGTTCATTTTAGTATTTTGATTATTACTTTTCAATTTTATTTATGATTATTATTTTACATTAGTTGAAAATGTAATAAAATCGGGAGATACGTTCGCTAAATCGGGATATACTAATTAAAATCAGTAGATCTCCCGATAAATCGGGAACTTTTGCAACACTGCGCTCCTGCCGCCCTGCCGTAGGGCAGACTTAAAAAATTGCCCCTGCTTGCCTACACACATCACAATTAAGGAGGCAGTTAAAGGTCATCCCCACTCCTACACCCTAGATTGCCCCTGCGGTAGGCAGGTCAGTACAGTCAGTATCCACCTTAAGGCGGCTACTGACCTGCCTGCCACAGGGGCAATCTAGGGAACACAGCGATCGGAGCAATGTCGAAGGCCGCAGGGCCGACTTAAAAAATTGCCCCTGCTTGCCTACACACATCACAATTAAGGAGGCAATTAAGGGTCATCCCCACTACTACACCCTAGATTGCCTCTGCGGCAGGCAGGGCAGTAGCCACCTTTAAGCTTGCTTGTGACCTCCCTAGTGAGCATCGGATTTTAGAAATATCCTTTGCCGTCGATGTTCTTCATAACACAAACTATGTTTTGTAATTTAATTGCGAACGCGTTTAACTCCTGAGCGGTTTGACGCGGGCGCGGAAGGCGTTTTAAGTCCTCTAATGCACGATCCGAAGAATTCTAGTTTCTATTAGTTATTATTCTAAATATCAATACTTTATGATTAATTTATTAAGCTGTTTATTGTACTATTATGTTTGGTTTCTTCAATACAATAAAATTCGTTTAAGTTTTCATATTCCTTCAGTTTAAGTTTATAGTCATATGGACATTTTTGTGATTAAAATTAACTTTTATAAAAAAAACCTTGTTTTATTGAATAGCTGTGTGGTGTTAACAATATTGATTTTTATAACATCTGTGACATTACAAAATTGCTACGTGCCACTTGGGCCACATAACCAATATTTATCACCACAAATTACAAAGTTGTATGTAATTTATCACTACAGATGCCCGTCATTTCGTTAGCTATCTAGGATTAATAAATATGGTTTAAATTTTTTGAAATAGGGTATACTTATTTCACATATTTCAGCCTCTGGAATTTGGTAGGAATTGAGGTTTTTTTTGCGATGATTTTTGGTCTAACAAATTTGATGGTTTTTTTTATAGGATAAGGGTGACAAACGAGCACACAGTCCACCTGATGGTAAGTGGTTGCTGCGGCCTATAGACATCTACATCTATCCTCTATTACAAATCAAAATGTAGATGCGTTGTCACCCGTGAGGACTAAGATTGAATGCCTCATTTCCAGTAAAAAGGGCCTCCGGCCACCTGCACTCACCAAGCGAAACGCAGAGGTAAACCTCTACTTCACGCTGGTTTTCTGTGAGGTCGTGGTACCATCCCGGTTCGAGACAGCCCATCTGTGCGACAGCAAAAGCTACCGTGTGGCTCTACCACTGTTGTATCCTGTGTAGGTATTACATCGTGAGTGGGGCGATGCTATAAATGTTTACGGACTGGAGACTTTCCGGAGCGTCGATTCTTCACATCAGAATAAAGCTGGTTTACGGTGCTTGATGCAGGAGTTTACAGCATGTACGCAATTAACCGATTCGTTGCGGCACCAATTTTTGAGAACAAATATTTCATTCATTCATTTCATTAGTAAAAGTAATGTTCTTTTTTATGATTTTTGTACTTGTTTAGACCTAATTAAGTTTATTTGACATCAAACATAAGTTACAAATGGAAGGATACTTGTTTTTAGTGGGTAACTACGTGTTTTTTTACGCGTTTTCTTTGAAATTGAGAGAAAGTGACTTTTTATGAAGAGATTACAAACCTTTTGTACTATTTTTGTTGTTATAAAAAAATCATTTATATAAGTAGGTACAGCTAAATCACCCTGGACACCTTGGTTTTTATTAAATTAAATTTTCACCTAATAATAACATTTGTAAATATCAAACAATGAAGAAACTTAAGAGCTAGTTCAGACATGGCGGAATCCGTGCGGATGCAAATCGCGCGGTTCTAAACGCAAGTGTTCAGACAGGCGCGGATGTAAATGCGGAGTGCCGTAATCCGCATAGAGTGACAGTCGTTCCAGTCCAATCATGGAAGTCGAAGAAGCAATATGTGTGTACTTGTTGCTCCGTAAAAAAAAAAAAAGAAGAAACGGCAGTATTGGGTGCATCCAATATTACGTGATCGGCTCACCCATGGTCAGTTTCAGACTTTATATCCAAAATTAAGAAGTTTTGAATAAAATTCTTCAATTATTTGAGAATGTCGATAAATTCATTTGTTGAATTATTAGAAATGATCAGTGAACAAATTGCATCTAATGATACCCATATGAGGTCAAGCGTGGCCCCAGAAGAAAAACTCGTGATTACATTAAGGTAAGATATTTATTTTATACATCAGAATATATATTTTGTACTATAGAAGACTGTGAGTCGTCAGTGTTATTGCATGATAAAGGCGATGGAGACTCTCCTGGTACGATTGTAGAATATCCAGTAAAATATCCTTGTGGGTTTGAATATTGTTGGTTTGCCAAAATACTGCATTAGGCGTGTTCTGCTGGCTCGTGATATGAATAGACGCTGGTAATTTCTGCCCTTTCTGTATTACCTGGAGTAATTCAATTTTAGTAGCCAAACGCTTATTTTCTGGGACTTTTTTTTAACTCTTTATACAATGACATACAAAAAAGCTTATCATCATCATCTTGCTTTGACATACTTTCTTGTAATTGTCTCTGTATTTTATCCCTTGATTCAATGCTATTTTCTAATATGTCAGCTAATCGCTCTTCTGAAGTAATTTTAATCTTCTTCCTTTTATTGGGTACTGATTGTATTTCACGTGCATTAACAAAATTATCTTGGTTTTGGTCAATGTTTTGAATTCCTTCATTTTTGGCTTCATGTATGTTTGAGGTCGTTTCTTTATTTTCTACCGTCTTCTGAAGAAAAGAAAGCCGGTCAAAATACATGTATTTTGAACCTTTACATGCACCAGAACCAGAAGGAATTGATTTGCCTTTCTTGAATTCCTTATTATAAGCATCCCGTATGTTCTTCCACTTTTTTTGTAATGTTACACCTGGAACAGAAATCACTATCTTTAACAAAATTGTAGACTTATAAATACAGGAGCGGTCAAATAATTGAAGACACTCATTAAAAGTTTGAAAAATTTTAAATAAAATAATTGACACTCAACTTTTTTTCCATAGTGCTGTTGGCACTTTGTGATAGTAACTATTGTTTTTCTTTCATAGATATTGGATCATATGGAAAAAGTAGTGATTCTGCAAGTTTTAAAAATTCGGTATTTTATAAAAGATTAATAGAAAAGTACACATACCAAAATCTAAACCAATATCTACCACAGATCCTACGCCATTGCCATACGTCATAGTTGGCGATGAAGCTTTTGGTTTATCCGAAACTGTAACGCGACCCTATGCAGGTAGATGGCTTTCATACGGAAAAAAAAATTTAATTACAGGTTATCAAGAGCTCGACGTTATACAATACAATACAATATCTTTATTTCAGGCATCAAGGACTTAAAAATTAAGAACATTGGCCCATAGCAATATATACGAGTACCTTAACCTAAAAATATATATAAAATATAGACATAACTTAACACTATTTAGGGAACTTTTTTCTTTGGCGCGTCCCTGTATCGGCGAAACACTACCCCAGAGGGCCAGAAATCGGGAGCGAGGAATGTCTCTTTATGTTTTGCAGGAACCTGGAGTACGTAGGATTTGAAGTTCGTTGACCTATTAGACTCCAGACGCTGCAAATGTAAAGAGATCGGATCCTCAATGCGGCATCGGCCTCGTTCTTCCACGAAGCGCAGGACGTCTTCTCCCGACGTACTTTTGTCCAAACGGGAGATGAAGAGTTGTATGGTTGGCTCCTCAGCACGCAGAGTTATACTCGCGTTTATTTTCGCGGTCCCACGCTGATTACAGACGGGTCGCGACTGACGTCTCTTCTCAACAAGAGTAAACCCGTCCTTATCAATCTTGTCTTGGGTCACCACTGGAACTGATTTTATTTCCACATTCTTCCGCTTTCGACCACAAGAGGGTGCCGGTTGTAAAGATTTTCGGGCAACATCCGCAAACGTCTTCCCTTGTTTTGAGGTTGGCTTCGGCGGAGGAGTACCAATGGGTTCAGTCAAGGGTTGAGGTGGTGATGTAATGACGACCGAGGTCGCCCTAGTTTCTCGGTCATCAACCCGCTGACAGACGGTAACGCGTGACGGAGTCGCAATCATCGGTGAAATATGACTACTATTACGGTTACCGCGTGTCGTATTCACATTCTGCGACGGCGGTGAATTTGCAGATGTTGCAATTATATTGCGCAACATATTGACTTCGTTCCTCAGCTCTGTTGCGGCTCGTTCTGATTCCTCAGATTTGGAACGGATGTCGGTAATATCGGCTCTCAACGTGGTGATATCTTTCAACAATCTGGTGACGTCTACGTGATCGAACGTCACGGGAGGCAGCTTGTTGAGATCACGCGCGACGAAAGTTGGGATGTCATCAGGGTCGGTCTCATTGAACAGCCTGAAGATGTCTTGCAGGTCTTTCTTACCGCGTCCATCCCTGTGACGTGTGATAAGACGGATTTGGGTCACGGCTGAATCTGCTAACACCTTCTTCGCTTGGATGATCTCGTCCTCGGTGAAGCTTGTCATCAGTATCTGCTCCAGAGACACCTGGTCCATGACGTCCAATTTTTGTTGAACAAAGGCCAGCAACTCGTGGATTACGACGGTTTCGGAACGTTTAGGTTGACACGCCATTTCGAATTATTTTTGCGCAGTAGGTATGCTTACGCTACAAAAATACTGTAAGTTCGGCATTAGAGCCGTCACGTCATTATGAAGCGACTGCACTAACCGGTAATAAAATTGCGACTGCACTGTTATATTGAATGCACTTTTGGAATTCTGGCAAACAAGTGGCGCATTTTTCATAGGCCTATAAACGTTAATATAGACTTTGCCGAAGACATAATAAAGGCCTGTTGCGTGCTACACAATTTTGTTAGAACTAGAGATGGTGTACAGTATGAAGATACTTTATATACTGCGCCAATGAGTAATTTTTTTTTATTTATAGGAGAGGGGGCAAACGAGCATGCGGCTCACCTGATGGTAAGTGACTACCGCCGCCCATGAACAACTGCAACACCAGGGAGGGAATTGCAGATGCGTTGCCGGCCTTTTAAAAAGGAGTACGCTCTTTTCTTGAAGGTCCCTAAGTCGTATCGGACCGGAAAAATCGCTGATGGTAATCGATTCCACAAGGAAGTCGTGCGAGGAAGAAAACATCTTCTAAATCGCACAGTGGTGGACCGCCAATCATCCAGATGGTGTGGATGGTATCGGGAGTTCTGCCGCGATGTGCGTTCGTGAAATTTGGCGGCTGGGATTAATCCGAACAATTCCTCAGAGCACTCCCCATGGTAGATGCGAAAGAAAATGCAAAGGGATGCAACATCTCTTCGCAGTGCCAATGAATCGAGCCGATCGGAAAGGGCTCGGTCGTCGACGATTCGAGCCGCTCTGCGCTGGATGCGGTCAAGTGGAAGGAGCTGGCACTGGGGAGCCCCTGCCCAGAGATGGGAACAGTATTCCATGTGAGGCCGAACCTGCGCCTTGTAAAGTTGCAGGCGGTGTGCCGGCATGAAATACTGTCCCGCTCTGCTGAGTACGCCAAGCTTTTTAGAGGCCAATTTGGCCTTGTCTTCCAAGTGACCACGAAACTGCACGTCACTCGATATGTCGACTCCAAGGATACCGATACTGGCTGAGGCAAGAAGGGGAGTGCCTTGAAACTGAGGAGATACGACAAAGGGGTTCTTTTTAGCGGTAAACGCGCAAACTTGTGTCTTCTGAGGATTAAACTGGACTAGATTTAGTCGCCCCCAATCCGAGACTTTGTTCAGCAAAGACTCGACTTCAGACACAAGTTTGTTCCGGTACTCGGCGACGATTTCCTGAGAAATATTGACACGGCCGGTGTATAGAGCATCACCAGTGCTGTCATCCGCATAGCAATGAATGTTACCAGTTAGCAACATATCATTGATATGCAGAAGAAACAGTGTTGGTGATAGCACACAGCCTTGTGGAACACCAGCGTTAATAGGCTTGTAGTCAGAACATGCACCGTCTACAACGACCTTGATGCTCCGCTTTGCAAGGAAGCTGGTGATCCAATTGCACAATTTCTCGGGAAACCCATAGGAAGGGAGCTTCGAAAGAAGCGCTTTGTGCCAAACCCGATCGAAGGCCTTCGCAATGTCCAGACTAACGGCCAACGCCTCCCCCTTGGACTCTACTGCCTACGCCCATCTATGGGTCAGTTAGACCAGAAGATCACCAGCTGATCGACCCCGACGAAAACCGTATTGGCGGTCACTAATCAGCTGGTGATCCTCAAGGTACCGGATGAGCTGGCAGTTAATAATGGATTCCATTATTTTGGAGAACAAGGAGGTGATCGCGATAGGCCTATAGTTGGACGGGTCTGAGCGGTCGCCTTTTTTAGGGATCGGGTGGACAAAAGCTGTCTTCCATGAATTCGGGACTACGCCTTGGAAGTAGGAGTACCGGAAAAGACGCGTTAGGACCGGTGCCGACTTCGGAGCACACGTCCTCAGCACAATTGGGGAGATTCCGTCAGGCCCACTCGACTTCTGGATGTCCAGGGAGAGAAGTGCTTTGCGAACCGAGCGATGTGAGAACAGCACATCCGGCATGGAGCACTCACACCGCGGGTGGTCGGCGGTGTTTCCCCCCCGTCATCAAGAGTCGAGTTGGACGCAAAAAGGGAGCCTAAAAGGTCAGCTTTGTCTTTTGTGTCTTGGGCCAGTGAGTCGTCCTCCCTGTGCAGAGATGGTAGTGATGGCTTACAGAAATTCCCTTGGACAGCCTTGGCGAGAGACCAGAATGCACGGGTTCCCGAAGGAAGGCGAACTAGTTTCTCGCCAATTCTGCCTATGTGCTCTAACTTTGCCTTGGCAATAACTCTTTTGAAGGACCTGGAGGCGAAGTTATACTTCTTTTTAAGTGTGCTGGTGTTTACATCCCGAGTCACCGAAGCCGCAGCCCAGGCTTGATAACACTCCTGCTTACTGCGCAATGCAGTCTTACAGGAGCGACCAAACCAAGGCTGAGATCTGCCTCCGATGGGTACCACAGATGATGGAATAAATAGTTCCATTCCCTGTAGCATCACATCAGTGACAGAGTCAGCAACAACACTGGGATCATCCGGCGAGAAGCAAACCCGCCCCCATGGGTAGGATGCAAAGAAAGACCGCATTCCGTCCCAATCCGCCGACCTGTAATGCCAAACACGGCGGCAACCTGCAGAACGCAACCGCGAAGGGAGCGTGAGTGGCACCATACTCCGGATCAGACAATGGTCCGAAGAGCCGAGAGGGGCATCGACGGAAACCTGATATCCGTCCGGATGAGAGGTCAGCAGAAGGTCCAACAGGGAAGGTGTATGATCCTCCACATCTGGAATCCGCGTAGGCGAAGTAACCAGTTGTGTCAGATCATATGCCAAGGCAAAGTCATAAACAGATCTCCCCGCATGATCGGTTAAACGTGAACCGAGCCATTCGGCATGGTGGGCGTTAAAATCGCCAAGGATCACGATCTCTGCGGATGGGACCTGTTGTAGCAAGGAATCTGTAGCCATTTGGACGTGGTCGATGAGTCGGTCTGTTTCGGCATTACCGCTATGGGACCTATAGAGGCACCCGTAGACGCGCGGATGGTCGTCGCTGTCTACGCGTAGCCAAAGGATGGACAGGTCCGAACCTTCAAGACTGCCGAGGCGTCGAGAACAGATGTCCTCTCTAACATACACGCAAACTCCAGCCCGAGGCACAAAGGAGTGCTCCAATTTGTACCCCGGGCAGGAGAGATACGAAATATCAGTCGGAGAGGAAACCTGCGTCTCGGTCAAAAAGAGCAAGGCCGGCTTCGCCGTCTCGAGATGGTAGTGGACGGCGTTTAGGTTAGAGTGAAGTCCCCTGATGTTGCAGAAATTCACGGATAGCGTGGCAGGGGTCGCCTTGGTATTGTTGCTCAGCTTGCCCCGAGCAGTTATGTTTTTGAGCGGAATTTTGCCCCCCCAGAATACGCGGGGCAGCCTGAGCACCCACGCTCAGGATTGGAATAACATGGTCGTGGATGCTCAGCGAGGGATTCTCCAGGGGTGCTGGCACCCTCCTGGGGTAGTCTTGCGTGTAATTCCGCTACCATGTTGATGGGGGTGGGGGGGGGGTGGAATTGGGCCTCCGGCCACCTGCACTCACCGGACGAAACGCAGAAGCAGAGCCTCTACTTCACGCCGGTATTCTGTGAGGTCGTGGTACCAACCCGGCTCGAGCCGGCCCATACGTGCAACAGCATAAACTGCTGCGTGGCTCTACCACTGTTAAAACTTCTTTATAAATCTTAATACATTACATCCAGGAAGGGGTACACCGTCATCATTAAACATTAGAGACAAATATGCTAATTAATTTGTAAATGAGGGTCGTGTAGAATGGCAAGACACAAAAATATAAAATTAAAATTTGTTACAGTTCGCGCCAAATAAATAAACTCAAGATGGCGTCACGTCGGTTGAACATAGTCACTAGCTACTCCGTTACTATGGTAACGTGATATTTTTCCCGCGCCCGATACTTACCTTCAATTACAAAAACAACGTTTTTATATTATTTTTTTATTTATTAGTTATTTGGGGGAGACTGTCAATTACAAAATATGTAAACTAGGTACCCTTAAATACTATTACTGACCAAAAAGAACCTTTTTTTTTTCCAAAGAATTCTCATTTTCTCCAAAAATCTCCACCAGCTCACATTGGATGTCCCACAAAGCAGGTCTCTTTTCCACCTCATCGATGAATAGCTCGGTGTCGAAGCGATCCATTGTCACCGTCCGATACGCGTGGCTTCCGCAGAGTAAAGATGAGACGTATTTACTCTACCAGGCAAAGATGTTTTATAGGTCCCAGGTTTTAAAACCAGGTATTCACTTCAAAGTACGGCGCCCTGGTACGAGCAAAAAATACTTGCGAGTATGAAAATACTTGCATAGGAAAATTATCCATATATCAATAGAAGTAAGAAACTCAATCGTATTTGTGAACGAAAAATACTTAGAACTTCAAAGTATTTTTCTGCCGACTTCCAAAAAGGAGCCGGTACTCAATTCGACTGTATATTTTTTTTTTCGTTTTTTTTTTATGTGTGTTACCTCAGAACTTTTTTCTGGGTGAACCGATTTCGATGATTCTTTTTTTATTTGAAAGCTGGTACTTCTCGTGTGGTCCCATATGAATTTGATCAAGGTCAGACCAATAGTTTTTAAGTTATTCTTAAATAACTTATATTAAAGTCGGCTGTACAAAATTTTTAATTTTTAATTATTTATTTATACGACTTTGCTCCTTATTCATAGTAGGATAACATGGAATACGGGTGAAATTCCTATGCAAGAATTTTCAGATTTTGACACCACGGCTGGACACGTCCCTCGCGTCGCATTGAGACGTATTTACGCCAACAGGTTTTAACTTTAAAGTACGACGCCCTTTTACGACCAAAAAATACTTGCAAGTATGAGAATACTTACATAAGAAAATGATCCATATATCAATAGTAATAAGAAACTCAATCGTATTTATAAAAAAAAATACTTTGAACTTCAAAGTATTTTTTTTATTTATACGACTTTGCTCCTTAGTCATAATAGCCTAACACGGAAAG